GAAGATCCAGGGCCATAGCGACCCGTGGGTCGCAAATTGGAGCTTCTATGGCCCTGGATCTTCTCTGGTATACTATCCCTTTATTTCGGCCAATTTCTACTATTTTTCCAGCAATCCGCGGAGCCTGGTAGAGGGTACCACCAGGCCTTTCTACGGGAATACGGATCATAGAATTCGACAAAAAAGACAGTAAAATTGGCCAAGGGAGTCCGGCCGCGGGGAGGTAGTTTCTTTCCCTCCGCGGCCAGTCAAACCTACAAGGCGGCCAAACTCCCCTGGCAAATATTCTCCTATATATAGCCAGCGTAGTTAGTCTGGTAGAGACTAGCGACTTGCTACTTTGCCAGTATCGTGTATCGAAAAATGTCCAGACTATGCATGATGTACAAAATGACTAATAAACTGGTGGATGTACCAACTACTTAAAGTGCCTGATACCAGCTCAGAAAAGAACAAGAAATAGCAATGCCTTCAAGTTTCGGCGTAACACACCAGCTTCGTAGGCACGCGGCGCGGCGGCAGCTAGCTATTCCTATATCACACCGAACGACATGTTACATCTAACCCTTAAACATCTAACTCTAAACATTGTTTAAAGCTATCTAATGACAATGCCCCTACTGTCCTTATTGACAACGAGTTCCACTCTGCGATAGTTCTAGGAAAGAATTAATTCTTGAACACCTCAATCCTTGGTTAATAACTCTGGTACTTGAAGGCATGGCTATTTCTTGTTCTTTCCTGGGCTGGTATGAGGGAGGGCCTGCAAGCCCTTTTTCGTAAGACGTAATCAGGCCGTTTTAGACTTCGTAATCCGTAGGCAGCCTCCGCAAAAATCAACGTAATTCGTAATAGGACATTAGCCGCAAATCGTAAAGTCGTAATCAGCTCTGAGACTTAAACGTAATTCGTAATAGGCGGCGAAAATTTTGCGTAATTCGTAATCACTAAACCCTTGCAGGCCCTCTGGTATCGGATAATTTGCCTGTATCGTGGCACGCTGGCTGGGTTGCGGCCTCCATCTGGCTCAAGTTTACACAAAGTTGGCCGCGTTTCCACACTGTTGACAGTGATCCGTCTGTCGCATCGTTACTTCAGACCTATCTCTTAATCTCCAAGCAGATCCCTCTCTCCCTCAAAAAGACAGTATCAAATTGGCCAGGCAGTATCCATTAGCCAGAGAAGGTCGCCATCCACCGACGGTGGGGGTAGCGACAAAAAAAACGGCCATATATAAAAAGCTAACGATCATTCCCCCACAACCTCTGCTTGGAGAGTATCCACAGTGACAGTGATATCGTCTGTCGCTCTGTTACTTCAGACCTATCTCTAAGGCCATGTTGAGTTGATTATATGAATGACATCCACGCGCGCATGAATTTTTTTGCAAAAGTAAACAAATATTGGAAAACGATACCAATGTCGTAGGATGCCAAAATCAAACGAAAAAGACGAAAATGAAATGAATTTGAACAGTAGATTCTTCGCCATACCATACTCTGTGTCATTTGGTCACACTTCATGACCACGTACATTTCATAATGAAAGCAACTTTTTTTTGCCAAACTTTTTTATTCGCACGCTCGCATCAGATATGGGGTTCCCAGAGGATGTCATCCATGTAATCAAATCAACGTGGCCTTACACAAAGTTCGCCGTGACAGTGATCCGTCTGTCGCTCCGTTAGTTCAGACCTATCTCCAACGTGCCACTATGTCAGTGATTAGACCGTGGGGCGGGCAGCGGGACGCACGCGTGATTGGTGACGGAGATTGTGCGTACACGAAGTGCGTTTCTTTCCGCAGGACATTTGTAGTAGCTGGGGCCCTGTGGGGTTGGCATCCACACACACACTGTAGTATAGTGTAGCCTCCATCAGGCCTTTCTACGGGAATACGGATCGTAGCATTCGGCAAAAAGGAGAGTAAAATTGGCCTGGGGAGTCAGTCCGCGGAGGGTTGCTTCTTTCCTGTGCGGCCAGTCAAACCCCAAGGCCACACTCCCCTGAGTTGGGATCCATACACACTCGTATCAGTCTTTCGTTGTGAGATGTCTGTCGTTTATTTCTTTATCTTATTTTGATGTGTCAAGTTGGTGGGTTGGTGGGAGCGATAGGACAGTAACCTGTCGTAGGTAGCTTGACACATCCTTTTTCTATCCTCTTTCCTTTGTCTACGTCTATGTTTAAGTAACGTCGAAAAGTACACACAAAAAAGAAAATAGTTAAGAAAACTCTTGTCTCTCTTGTCTACTTTTCCTCCTTTTTTTATTATTTTGTTATACCTTAATTAAAAACGGGATCCACACACACACACACACACACACATACACACACACACACACACACTCACACAAACATACACACACACTGTTTGCGGATATACAATCTATCACCAGTTTTAGGCTTGTGTCTTTCCTGACGTGTTACTTGCTTTCTCCATGACCATACTTCCGTCAGGGGTCAGAAACGCTGGTAAGACCACCTTTTGTGAGACGCATCAGTATATAGTCCGGTCACGAAAATCGTCACGTGTGCAAACAACTTTAAAACACATTAAGTCTAGTCTCCACCAGACTCCTTTTGCAGTCTAATAGGGAAAAGGGAATATCATTGGCCAGAGGAGATGGCCACCATAGGATCTCCAGCTTGCCTGCTGAATATTCCCCACCAAACCAAAAATTCAGTGCAAAAGAGAAACCCCGACAAAAAAAGCCTAAAAACACGCTAAAAATACCCCCCAAAACCCAAACCTCTGCTTGGAGGGTACCGATTACGCTCTACGTTGAATTAGAGCTGTCCGTCTATGCTATACGTAAAATTAAAACGGCCGATTACGCTCTACGGAAAAGGGCATGCCGGCCCCCCTGTGTAAAAGAGTAGAAATTGGCAGAAATAAAGGGATAGTATACCAGAGGAGTTATCTGGCCAGAGAGGATCCAATATGCAACCCACGGATATAATACTATCCCTTTATTTCGGCCAATTTCTACTATTTTTCCAGCGATCCGCGGTGCCTGGTAGAGGCTACCGTATTCTAGATCGTCAATGGAGTGTGTGGACGCCCTGTGTTGGCAGCTTGCCCCGCACACAGACATGTCACGGTGTCAGGGTCGCCAGTCCTGGTCTGATTTACCTTATCATATTAATTCTCCGCCGACCTCCCGACCCTCCAAATTAACTTCCTATGTGTTTGTAGTTACAAGGACAGACGTCCCACCCCGTTAACCCTATAGCTGGGCCGTCAGGGGCTGAAGAAATAGCCTCCATAGCATGCCAAAAACTGGGGGTTTGGGGGGTCTTCATGGTCTTTGGGAGCTTTTATGTGCTATTTTCTGATTGCATATACATGTAGACAAGGCATAGCCGGCCTGGTTGAATTACCCCCGTTTTTAGAACTGGGCTAATCAGAAAACAGCCGAAGACCACCAAATCCCCAGTTCTATAAGCCTACTACGGAGGCTAGTCACAGCTAGTTAAACCCTAGCTGGGCCGTCACGGACTGAGAAACGCCTCGCTGCATCCAGGACGGGCTGAGTTTATAGCCGCTTCGCCTGCCTCTAAATGCACGACGCCCGTTAGTCTCCACCAGACTCCTTTGCAGGCTGAATACATAGTAGAAATTGGCTATGGGGGACAACATTGGCCAGAGGAGTTGGCCGGCCATAGATGGTCTAGCTTGCCTCTAGCCAATGTTGTCCCCCACAGTGGTTGTCCCCCTTAGCCGATTTCTACTATTTATTCAGCCTGCAAAGGAGTCTGGTGGAGACTAGACGCCCGTAGACTGTACCAGGCTTTGGGAGGCGGATGGAAAGAGTAGAATTTGGCCAAATAGAGAGATAAAATACCGAGGTAGTTGGTACGCTAAAGAGTAACATTTTGCCGCACCCAAGTGTTACTCTCTAGCAGACCAACTACCTCGACTTACTCTCCAAGCAGAGGTTGTGGGGGAATGATCGTTAGCTTTTTATATATGGCCCTTTTTTGTCGCTACCCCCACCGACCTTCTCTGGCTAATGGATACTGTCTTGCCACCGAAAGGGATCTGCTTGGAGATTAGTTATCTCTCTATTTGGCCAAAAAAATGTCTACTCTTTCCAGCCGCATCCCAAAGCCTGGTAGAGGCTATCCAGGACGGACTTATATTATAGCCGCGGGACCTACTTTTAAAACGCTTCGCCTGCCTCTAAATGCGCGACGCCCGGCAGTGCGGGATTTTCAGGCGAGGAATGCCGCAGTGATTTAGGACCGAAGATGCAAGCAGGCGCGACACAGCAACAGATGACAGTGATTCTAGGAAGATACGCTTCCCAGTTAAAATCGCCTCGGTGCCGACACATACAAATCTGCACGGCAGGACTTTATCTATGGTTATGTTGTCCCCTGCCGTTTCGCCGCCCGGGTAACGTTAATGATCACACCGGACGGGATTTCAATCTCACCAGATCCATAGCCGGGACTCTAAAGGCGACAAAGCCCCACAGTCAGACTGTCGTGGTGTCCTTACGTGGACGGAGTACAGAATACGTGTAGACAGTCATGGTACTAGACTCCATAGCATGCCAAAAACTGGGGGATTTGGGGGTCTTTAGTTTGGGAGCTTTTATGTGCTATTTTCTGATTGCATATAGACAACATAGCCGGCCTGGTTGAATTACCCCCGTTTTTGTTTAGAACTGTGCTAATCAGAAAACAGACCACCAAACCCCCAGTTCTACAAGCCTGCTACGGAGGCTACATGGCACGATGAAGCGAGGCAGGACGAATTTTCTGAATCGTGCGACCCCCCGACGAGCTTATTCTATACTCTTCCTGTAGCGTTACTTAAACGGTCTATACGAACCGTCTACGCGAGATATGCGTGTCTAAAATACTAGCCTCTAACTACAGGGTTGGACGGCTTCCTTTAATAGTTTATCAAACCACCTGTCAAAATAACGCCAAGTCGTCTCGCCGTACGGTTTACAAATATATATAGATAGACCCACACTGACTGACTCACCCCTTCCGCATGTCCATAGTAGAAAACACGTCGAGAAAGCCGCTGTGGTCCTCCTCTCCATGATGATACTGTACCTCTGACAGCGCTGCTTGCTTCCTTCCAACCAAGTTGTACGTGCGGGCGCTAACACACAGAGACACAGAGCTGGGCTGGTATTCCGTACGACTCGCTGACTGTCCAGCACAACACTGACGCTGGCCGAGGAACGTAGGACCAAAAACGCGACCGATCCGTAAGACACGAATTCCAGGGCGGGCGGGCTGCGTTCCGACGTGCCGCTGTCACCGCTAGCTAGCTGCCTTGTTGTACCACACCAAGTCGTACGTTCCGAGCGAGGGTCAAGTCGACTGCGGAAAATAACAACACAGGTTAGACCACCGGGCAGGAACCACGGGGGCGTTTCGCTAGATATACACCCGGGGGAGGTCAATATCTGCCCGTCAAGACACGCAGAGGCAAGACACGAATCAATGGTAGCCTCCACCAGGCCTTTCTGCGGGAATACGGATCGTAGAATTCGGCAAAAAGGAGAGTAAAATTGGCCAAGGGAGTCCTGCCACGGGGAGGTACTAGTACTTTCTTTCCCCCCGAAGTCAACCTACAAGGCGGTCAAACTCCCCTGGCAAATATTCTCGTATATTACGGTATATATAGCCAGCGTAGTTAGTCTGGTAGAGACTAGATCAATGTAGGAACCTCTTGGGGGGAAAGATCTAGAGAAAGACACACTGCGCACACGTGTGTCTCCTATTCTGCACTGTGTAGCGCCGGTTTTAGGCTGGCTACTTGTTTATTTATCATGAAGGTTAAAATAGCCCATAAATCTTATGGTGTAAGCCTATCCGCACGCCGGCTTATGGTTATGTGGAAAATTCTGTTTGAAGAATTATTAGCGCCTGCGGATTTATGTAATGTGTTCCACATATAACGTTAAATGTCTGTATTTGCAAAATCATGCCCGAAGGCAAGTTGCTTTTACAGAGTCAAAGATACTATACGGTACAATTAATAGAATAATAGGGAACAGAAAACTACTGTCTGGAAAAAAAACTTATACTTATACTACTACGCTTGCTATTATGAGGTTTGACTTCTTCTTTGAAGGCAGTGGATAATGAATAGTCTCACGTTCTTTGTCGTGATGTAATTATAGGATTGCTTTTGATGGTAAGATGAACATCGCAAAGTTTGAGACCTTAATTAATTCTTTTCGGAGGAGTGACTGATGATAACACTTATAGCCTAAAACGTTCCGTAAAGAATATTTTCAGGAAGCGAGTATAGGAGCCCTGGTATACAAATAGGATGGTACGCCAAGTCAAACCAAGCAAAATTACGGTACCATGTATGTTGTAGAATGTATGTTGTAGAATGTAGTATAAAGTTAGACGTAGTCTCTCATACTATTGTATTTTCTTTTATATTTTCATACATGTTGTTTGTACCTGCAAGCAGCCCTCGTGCATGTTTTTGCAATAAACCTTCTATATTAAACCCACTGAGAAATTACTGAGCATTTCGCTGTATTTCGGTATATTCCTGATGTATTCCGCTATTTAGTCGGACCCGCACTGTCGTTAAGTAACTATCATTCCTCTGACCGCATGTCTTTGCAATAAACTTTCTATATTAAACCGACTGAGAGATTACTGAGTATTTCGCTGCATTTCGGTACATTCCCGGTGTATTTCGCTATTTTTACGTACCCGCCCTGTCGCTAACATTTCACTAAACTGCCTGTCGTCGGGGAGACCGGCGGATAACCCAACTGGGATGTGCCGGGGAACCTGAGAAATTACTGACTATTTCGCTGCATTTCGCTATATTCTTATGTATTTCGCTATTTATACTGACCCGCCCTGTCGCTAACATTACACTATCGTGCCTGTCGTCGGGGAGACCGGCGGATAACCCAACTGGGATGTGCCTGAGAATCAGAGATTACTGAATATTTTGCTGAATTTCGCTACATTCTTGGTGTATTTCGCTATTTAGTCGGACCCTCCCTGTCGCTAACTACTAGTATCATTCCCCTGTCGTCGGGGAAACCATCGGATAACCCAACTGGGATGTGCCGGGGAACCTGTAATGAATAGCGAGGGTTAGACTTTATTGCCGGCTATCCTTCGCCGGTCTGGAAACTTATCCAACATCAGTGGACATGGTCACTACTGGCGGCCGTGGAGGGATGAAAGCTGACCCCGGGGTCGAGAACGGCTGGTCATTTGAAATAGGATCGAAATACGCCTGAACGGGGGTCGGATTACGCTCCTTTGTGCTGTGCTGCTATTCATTTTGGGGCAATTTTCCGGTGGCTCCGTGGTATGACTTGAAAGATGAAGACTCATCCTCGCCCTGAATAATCACCCATTGACAAGAGCTCGCCTCGCGCGCCGGCTCGTCTCCGGGAGGGGGTCACTCTAATTTTTGGCGGGTGAGCGTCCTTGGGAATACTCCTCGGTACTCTGAAACGACCGAACTTCATTAAAAACCCCTATCTTATAATGCACGCAGGTAACAGGGGTCCGTTTGGACGCGTTATCTCTTTACCTGGGTCACAGAAAACGTGCAGCGTTTTTAAGGACTGTTCGGTTTCTGATATGATGATTACAATGCAGGCTCCATGTACCCTCAACACGGGTTACAACTGTAATTCAATGGTGACTAGAATTTGACGAGAGTTAGCCTCCATAGCATGCCCAAAACTGGGGGTTTTCAGGGTCTTTGGGAGCTTTTATGTGCTATTTTCTGATTGTATATAATAGACAACATAGCCGGCTTAGTTGAATTACCCCGTTTTAGAACTGGGCTGCATGATCAGAAAACAGCCGAAGAGCACCAAACCCTCAGTTCTATAAGCCTGCTACGGAGGCTAATCAGAAAACAGCAGACCACCAAACCCCCAGTTCTATAAGCCTGGTACGGAGGCTAGACGAGAGTCACTTTCACGGTTTAGTAGCGGGAGATTATTCCTGTAGTCCATCGTGAAGACTCCCAAGGCTTACAGTATACGCTACAGTACTTGTCACGGGCTATAAGATGCTATAACAGTAACTCATTGGTGACCATAATTTGACGAGCTACACACACCTTTACGGTTTTAGTATGGCGGACATTCTTGTATCTTATCGTAAAGACGTACATCCATGCGGCTTACACTGAGAGGTTGTCCCGCTTTACTGCAACACTTGTAAACTGAAGTATCTCAATAAAAGACCGTGTAAACCTCCATCCGTCACTGTTATTATAGGTGAAAAGCTTGTTTGGTCTGAAAGAGCTCTCGGAGTCTATAGCTATCTGTGGAGAGATTTTGAGAAGATGCATTGCTCGAGAGAATACACCTTAAAATGATTCTAAACCTTGGATTAAACTGCCACAGTGTCAGACCTAGTACAGAAAGTAACACTGTAGTTTTCACAAGTTGGAGTGGATGTGAAAAACAGCTCTGCACAGTTCATGTTCCTTTCTTAAAACGACCCCTTCTCCTGGCCTCAGCCATCTGCTTGTAAAAGTTCGATCTGGAGTCTAACAAGTTCCAGTCAAGCCTCTTGTCTGATTGAGTCCCGCTGTTGGGGCGATTCCATTCTCAGTCGCGGGGGAGGACGGACTTAAACCCTTACAAGACAATATTTTCACCGTCAAGCGCAAGGCACAGTCAAATAATTTGTGCTTTTCCAAGTTCAGTGAGGCTATGGCGTGCAGAACCGACCTCCAACAATAATCTACGACAACCTATTCTGGTCACATATTTGTTTGTCGCAAGACAGCAGGATCGTGTGCGACATATCCACAACTATTTCAAGACATGTCTACAACTATCTCAAGACATATCCACAACTATCTCAAGACATATCTACAACTATCTCAAGACATATCCACAACTATCTCAAGACATATCCACAACTATCTCAAGACATATCAACAACAATCTCAAGACCTTCCACAACTGTCTCAAGACATATCTACATCTATCTACAACTGTTTCAATTGGCTGCCGCAAATGTACTCCGTACCAACTCCTCTGACATGTTATCTGTCTAGTTGGCCAATTTCTACTCTTTCCAGCCGCCTCCGAAGCCTGGTAGAGGCTACTAGGACCTCACAACTGTAGGAATGTCTTCAATATTTGCTATCGTAAACCTGCCGTGTGATATCGGTAACAGGAGCGGTACACAGACTTCTGAGATTCCTCCTAACCCCCGACCAATTCTGTGAGTAATGCGGCATTTCCGTTTCATTCCTCCCAGAAAACGCAGGCGAAAGATTTTCCGATAAAACGCATAACGCGTAATGGCTGTGCCACTCGTCAATATCTGCTTGGAGATGTTAGCGCCGTCCTCTCCGGCCGTGAGAGTTGACAGGAAGCCAAAGGGTTAACGTCAAACCCTCCTCTAGTCGCGACCCCGTGTAAGCTGTGAGACGGAGCGTTAGATTCAACATGAGATGTTCGCGACTCGCGGTACCCTTTCTGACACAAGTAACCGAGAAACGGTCAGAGGGTTAAGTAGAAACGTGGGCACGTCGGGACGACTTCCTAATGTCTTCTTTATGGTTCCAAAATGGCACAAACACAGACTGAGCCTGTCATTCTACAGTCTTTAGTTAGCATTGAATGAAACGTTGCAGCTTAAATTTGCTTGGTCTTCACAGATACAGATTCTTTATTGACTCAACAGAAATTACAGGACTTTTGAACGACTTCCTAATGTCTTCTTTATGGTTCCGAATGGCACAAACACAGACTGAGCCTGTCATTCCACGGTCTTTAGTTAGCATGGAGTAATAGCTTTGCTTGGTCTTTACATGTACAGATTCTTTACCCTGACTCAACAGAAAGTGCAGGGACTTTTGTATGGTCTTCTACTACTCTCTAAGCAGAGGTTAATGGGGGAAGATCGTTACCTTTTTATATATCCGTTTTTGGTGGCATATTGGACCCTCTCTGGTCAATGGAAACTACATGGCCAATTTGTCTTTTTGCCACCCTAGGATCTGCTTGAAGATTAGTCTTCTAAAACTTAAGATCTAACAAAGCTAAATGCATTATGTAACAAATATCTCCAAGGAGATCTATAGCTAGTTGCCTGTTTCGGTCACAGAAAGAAACAAGAGCAGATAGATAGGAGAATGTTACCATTTTGACTTCCAACATCCACTGAGAAATGATGATAAACTATTGTTATTATTCAGAATTTGTAGTGCATTTCCTATTATTGATATAACATGCTTGGTTGTAAAAAAAATGTAGGATTTCGCTTGTTACAATGCATAACTGGTAAATAGTGTAGTTTATGCGGTTCAAGTACCAAGCAAATTGGAAATGACAAAAGTTCCGTGAGACGGATATATCTGTGTCACTTGATAACATGTCTCGCGCCTGGAATCCTGTCACCGGTGTGTCATACAAAAGGTTTATAAATTGACGATGTCGTTACTATATCTGCGGTGAGTACACAGTGTATGCAGGTACACGGTATACCGAGGATTCAATTTCAGCAAGCGTCGTACCTGATATGTTTACCGAGAACTGTCAGCTTCAAACTACACACAACAAGCGATATTTCTCTCTAATTAGGGAATTCTGCGTTTTGATTCTTCACAATTTCGTTTGCAATTTGGACGCAGTGTATCTGTATCTGTACAGCCGGTATAACAGGCCTTCGGCGTAACACACCAGCTTCTGTATCTGTATAGCCGTTATAACCGCCCTTCGGCGTAACACACCAGCTTCTGTATCTGCATAGCCGGTATAACCGCCCTTCGGCGTAACACACCAGCTTCTGTATCTGTACAGCCGGTATAACCGCCCTTCGGCGTAACACACCAGCTTCTGTATCTGTATAGCCGGTATAACCACCCTTCGGCGTAACACACCAGCTTCTGTATCTGTATAGCCGGTATAACCGCCCTTCGGCGTAACACACCAGCTTCTGTATCTGTATAGCCGGTATAACCGCCCTTCGGCGTAACACACCAGGTTCGCAGGCACGCGGCGCGGCGGCAGCTGGCTACATCACACCGAACGACCTGTTAATACACCAAACCCTTGAACATCTAACTCTAAACATTGTTTAAAGCTATCTAATTTGTGCAAGTATGCAAAGGATACCATTTCAGCACTGCCGAACGCGTACATGTACGTTACGTTCCCTACATGCTCACCAAGAAGTGTCAGAATAGATACAACTATCACTTCTCGCTATTCACTGAGCTGCGCGGTTTCATTACCTTTGTGAAGAACCAGGCTTTACAATTTGGTCTGCACGAACTGTCGTAAAGAAACATAGCCCGCTATTCGGCTGTAAGGATGCTAACTGACGGCCGCACCTCTGAATGGAAACTGCATTAGTTCCCCTGAAATTGGCGCATAGAAACGGCATCAAAACCGCCTTAAATCTGCCCCTTTGTGCGTGTGTGGGAACAGATTTAGTGTGATGGGCGGCTACAGGAGCCAATTCCGACCGACAACCGCCGTTGTGGAGCGAGTTTAATTGATTTTTCGCCAGTCGTGAGGGTCGGGAGAAAAGGATACATTCTTCTTGCATGTCAGGGGCGACTGCAGGGCTTCCTAAGTGGATCCGTACCGCGTGCGGCTGAGAGAACGTCTTTCATTCGCTCAACCGTGTCAGATGTAAGATCAGGGGAGCCAAGGGTCAAGTCTGCTAATAGGGGGTGATCCTTACACATCGCCACCTTGTGGGGACGCCTTGCGGACGATCAGAGCACTGCATGTAGACGTTGGATGAATCAAGGACATTATACTGTATAAAATACTAGTATGATGAATGGAGAAACGGCCTTTCTTATGTCACCTTTCAAATACAGAACTGTTAACTGGTCACTACTACTGCTCTAGTCGTTAGTAATGCTACTGTTACATCTCACAATGTCGGCCCAGCAAGGCTAGAAAAAGATGATTCCGCTCCAATGAAACGTCTGGAACACTTCACAAAATACAAGAACTGACAGTTACTGGATTTAGTGAAATAACGTCCGGCCGCGGAGGGTCACTCAGCTGCAAAAGACGTCCCAGGAAAATCCCAAAATGAATTACGCTTTCTACTCTATTGGATCAAGGAAGCTTATTTAAATAGGATGTAGTGACCTGTAATAAGATAAAGAGGCACTACGGTATTGGGTTTGTGCTAAAACAAGCTTGTCAGGAAGGCACATGGTGGGAAAGTAAAATGAGACTGTACACAGATGGTTTGAGTGTGAATGAGTGCACAGTACCGAAATATCACAACGAACATAACAGGAACATTGCCACCTAGACATTGGTTTGTGATGTTGTTTAGTGACATTTCTTTATCTTCCTCAACACACTCCCCACCCACTTGCTGTGAAGAATTTACATGTAGCCTACTTTACTCCAATGCCCACATACATAGTAACAATATCACATCCATTGGCACATCAATGAAGTAAAGTGGTAGAGTGGCAATCAAAATAAAAATCACAATGATATCATGAAAGTTCATCTGTGTTGGTAGTTATCTAGCCGTATTCTAAACCTTTGTATTGTATGCACAGTCAGTGTATTTTATACATCCCCAATGTAAACGTTGCCGCACTTCGTGTGCAAATTTTTTGACATGCCAATCAAGCCAAAGTAAATAAAACTGAATGACAATGGAATTAGCATAAAGGTTCATCTGTGTTGACGGGTCCATTTCGTGAACAAGATTTCTGTATCTGTATCTGTATAGCCGGCATAACCGCCTTTCGGCGTAACACACCAGCGTCACAGGCACGCGGCACGGCGGGTGCTGGCTATATTACACCGATCGACTTGTTACACCTAACCCTTGAACTTCTAGCTCTAGACTTTGTTTAAAGCTTTGTTTAAGGAGTCAGCCGAAAATTTGAAAAAGTTGAGTCTAAACAAATAAAAAAAAACGCTTAGTCACAAGCGGCCCTTCTGCACCTGCGCCAATTTCTGACCTTTGTCCATGACCATGAAGTTAGACCAAGCAGCGGAATGTCTTCCGCGGCCGCCTACTTTAAGAGAGACAATGGCTTATACAGTATCTGCTGTGGGCGTTGTTATGTACATGGGTCGTCGTCCACTCTGCCTTGATGAGGGCAGGATGCCTCTTCCCGCCCCTCAGACGACGGATTTTGTCTTCCGTCAAGAAACGTTCAGACAGGAAGGCCCCGGGGATGCTGACCACACCTGAGCAGTGTCTGCAAAGCCTGAACGAATGGGCAAGTCTGGCTGCCTGGAAAGGGGCCCTGTTCGTATTGACGTCCCGGTTGGATGCTGAGGTATATATTTTTTTTAAAATTTCAACATGTAATCACCAGACGTGGTGACGTCGACAACTTATATTAATGCCGCCACCAACACAGGGGACAAATACATGACAGGACAATACTCATTTTCACCTGAGCTAAGTGAGGACAGCCGTGTAAAGTGCCTTTCCCAAGGGCACAAGATCGGTGGCATGTCAGGACTCGAACCAGGGACTCTAAGTTCCGAGTCGCGCACTCTGCCGCTACGCCACACGACCCCTATATAAATAATAGAAATATCGTTAAAGATTTTAATAATTTGGTATAGTACACGAACGTGCATCTTTTAACCAACGCATTGTACTAGTTTTATTACACCTTGTATACTTCGACTGTGCATAAATTGTAGTTGCAATTCGTACCTTTAACCTTTAGTAATAATTGTATAAGTCTATGATAATGTATGTACATGTACTGTCACCATGATTCAGCCTTAGGACTGCAAGCGTGACATATATGAGGGAAATTTCAAATAATAACGAACGTAAATCACTGTTCAATTCAATTAAGCTCGACAAAAAATGTAAAACATTATCAAAGGAAAATATATCATATCATGTACAAATATAGACGTCATCAATGAAGTATGTAAGTATATTTCAAAATGTTTCAAAAAGAGAGAAGAAGCCATTAGAACTTAGATCGATACCACTTTATAATATTTATTTCTTTTTTAACATTGTTATACCTTAGACCTGATGTTAGCCTTTCTTTATTACTGTTGTTGTAGTACTCTCTAGTACATTGTACTTTGTACATCCGTGCATTCATCCCCCCGGGGAATGAACATGCAATAAAGTGTCTATATCTATGTCTATAAATAAACCATTCTTAGGTGTTTGAGGGAGGCATGGCCACCGACTCCTCCCTCGTCAGGCTTGACGGGAGCTCATGCCGGCTGCTCGAGCACGCCAAGGCGGCCCGCCCTCTGGTCATCAGCTTCGGCAGCAACACCTGACAGCCGTTCCTGGCGAAGTTGGACATGGTCTGTATCTGTATCTGTATCTGTATGGCCGGTATAACCGCCTTTCGGTGTAACACACCAGCCTCTGAATCTGTATAGCCGGTATAACCACCCTTCGGCGTAACACATCAGCTTCTGTATCTGTATAGCCGGTATAACCACCCTTCGGCGTAACACACCAGCCTCTGAATCTGTATAGCCGGTATAACCACCCTTCGGCGTAACACATCAGCTTCTGTATCTGTATAGCTGGTATAACCACCCTTCGGTGCAACACACCAGTTTCGCAAGCACGCGGCGCGGCGGCAGCTGGCTATATTACACCGATCGACTTGTTACACCTAACCCTTCAACTTCTAACTCTAGACATAGTTTAAATCTAATCACAATGCCCCTACTGTACTTGGTGACAGTGAGTTCCACTCTGCGATAGTCTAGGAAAGAATTAATTCTTGAACACCCCAATCCTTGGTTGATAACTCTGGTACTTGAAGGCATGGCTATTTCTTGTTCTCTTCTGGGCTGGTATTAGGTAGTTGGGACGTCCACCAGTTTATTAGTCATTTTGTACATCATGCATAGTCTGGACATCTTTCTTCTGTCTTCCAGTGAGGTCCACTGTAGGTTTCTTTTCATTTCCGTGACACTAGCACCTCTTTCATAGTTGTTCATACAGAATCTTGCTTGATAATAGTTGGGACGTCCACCAGTTTATTAGTCATTTTGAACATCATGCATAGTCTAGACATTTTTTTATACTACCTGGAACAAGTAGAGAAATTTTCAACATGCTTTTATCATGCCCCGACTCTGTATCTGTTTATTTAGGCCAATATGTACATAGTGCTATACATAAGAGAAACAATGTCACAGCAATGTGAAATGTAACAGTCCACTATAACATATTTTCATGTATTGAAGTTAGATTAGCACACTAGTAGAAATAGTTTATAGTTATCAAGTGTTATTTGCCATACATTGTATCCAATGCAATTGTTGCGCAATAAACTTGACTTGACTTGTCTTCCAGGTCAAGCGGACCATGTCGGACTTCGCCTCCGTGGCGGACTTCGCGGTGGTGTACGTGGCCGAGGCGCACCCCACGGACGGCTGGGCCACGGTCGGGAACATGGCCACGGACATCCGGCAGCACCGGAGTCTGGAGGAGAGACTGGCGGCGGCGGAGATTCTGGCTCTGCACGACATCCCCTGTCCCATCCTGGTGGACACCATGGACAACGCCGCCGCCCGCGCGTACGCAGCGTTACCGGACAGGTCAGTTACAGGTTCTTCTTCTTTCCTTAAACGACCGCCTTCGTCTTGTCGAAGATTATGTCGTTCCAGGGTGTCCTGCGCAGGGGGGGGGGGTAAATGTACTGAGGAATGGAGATTTCAAGGGGGGGATTACAGCATGGACTTGAAGTCCTCTAAGTTGCTACTAAGAGCAATGTGAGCCGGCAGGCTGTTCCACTCTCTGATTGTTCGTGGAAAGAAGGATCTCTCTCTATACAGTGTCCTACATCTGGGCAGCTGATATGCTGCAGAATGGTTGAGTCTTGTCGGTTTGGAACAGCAATTTATCATCATGATGTTACTTTATTGTTTAGTCAATTAGTTAGTTAGTTAGTTAGTTCGTCGTGTTAACTCTATATTGTTTTGTACCTATTTTGATTTAATTTGTTTGTTTCGTTGTCACGTATTTACAATACACGTGTGTAAAAAGAGGTCATAAAAACAATTGGATTTTAGGAGAGCCCACTGGATAAACCCTTAGGTTTCTTGGGTTCTCCCGCACATTTGGTTGTACATATTCATTACATACTGTTTTATTTTTATGTGCAAACTGGCAATAAACCCTAATAATAAATAAACCCTAATTTTACCTTATTATCCGTCTTGGCGATACGCCATATTTCGTTCTATACCTGTAACAGTAAGGTAAATTGAGCGAACTCAGACTGAGAACGAAGCATGACTTTTGTATACAGAACCGTGCTTTATCCAGAACCATGCTCAAGCACTGCTCTGGATAGCCCACAGTGTCTGGGAAAAGAACAGTGCCTGGGACAAACCTACACGGAGACTGTCCAGAACCTTGCCTGATGTCCCTGCCCTAACCCATGCAGGCACAGAAGTAGATAGGCACCATTATGGATAAGATTCTAGTAATGACGCTTTTTGAACAAAGTAGTAATTACCTTTTTTTGGCGACGCACCAGGGGCGGAGGTATTTCTTGTTTCAAAAAGAGAGAAGAAGCCATTAGAACTTAGATCGATACCACTTTATATATATATATTTTTTTTTAGCATTGTATACCTTAGACTTGATGTTAGCCTTTCTTTATTACTATTGTTGTAGTACTCTCTAGTACATTGTACTCTGTACATCCGTGCATTTATCCCCCCGGGGAATGAACATGCAATAAAGTTTCTTTTTTTTATTAGTACTGACGGAATGATGTTTTTGTTGCTGTTTGCTTGCTCATCATTTCTGTCATGTTGCCCGCAGGTTGTACATCGTGTTGGACGGAGTGTGTGTTTACAGGGGCGCGCCGGGTCCTGATGGCTTCCACCCGGGGGAAGTCCGTGACTGGCTGCAGAGATTCTCTGGATAAGGCAGCGGCAGTTTCTATAGTTGTAAAATGAAGACTTTTTAGTAAAACTTTGAACTTCATTCCAACACAAGGGTTACAGAGCGATCAAATTTTTCAGGGACCACTGTTGCCTTCATCAGGATACTAGTAATTAATGACCAATCACTTCACAACGTGATCTCGCGAGAGTTACGGTTTACAAACACGTGACCTTATTCACACGAGACTTTACTAATACGTGACCTAAGCAATTGATCAAAAGTGCCAGGGAGTTTATATCGGGAGGTACTACCAACACAGATGAACTTTCATGATAATGAAGACTTTTTGTTAGACTCTCTGCGACATCCTTGTTATCGTTTATTACCTCATTGTACCAAGAATGTCCTTGATAGTACGGAGGTTTTCTGTTCTCTTTGCTTGCCTACTCTAAGCCACATACGAAAACACTGCTACCTGACTAAATACCAATGAGGAAACACTAATAAGTAACCAAGTAACTCGGATGAAAATTTCCATACACTTTCATACATTGTGAAGTATTGATGACTTTATTTCCCGTTTGGAAGGCAAAATACAAGTGCTTAAGACGTTCTGATTGCGTACAAGAATCCATCACAAGACAAACCTTCAGAGTGATCCAATGTATCATTGGAAAATATTTTGTAACTCTGGGTACAATATATTAGTCTCTACCAGACTCCTTTGCAGGCTGAATAAATAGTAGAAATGGACAAAGGGTATAGAGGGTCCAGCAAACTGGACCCTCTATGGCCGACCAACTCCTCTGGCCAATCTGTCTGTATCTGTATCTGTATAGCCGGTATAACCGCCTTTCGGCGTAACACACCAGCTTCGCAGGCACGCGGCGCGGCGGCAGCTGGCTATATTACACCGATCGACTTGTTACACCTAACCCTTGAACTTCTAGCTCTAGACATTGTTTAAAGCTATCTATTGACAATGCCCCTACTGTACTTGGTGACAGTGAGTTCCACTCTGCGATAGTTCTAGGAAAGAATGAATTCTTGAACACCTCAATCCTTGGTTGATAACTCTGGTACTTGAATGCGTGGCTATTTCTTGTTCTCTTCTGGGCTGGTATTAGGTACTTAGTAGTTGGGACATCCACCAGTTTATTAGTCATTTTGTACATCATGCATAGTCTAGACATCTTTCTTCTGTCTTCCAGTGAGGTCCACTGTAGGTTTCTTTTCATTTCCGTGACACTAGCACCTCTTACAGAGTTGTTCATACAGAATCTTGCAGCTTGATTCTGTACCCTTTCCAATTTGTCTTTGTCTTTCTTTGTATATGGATCCCATACTGTCGCAGCGTATTCTAGGTTCGGTCGTGTATGCAAGTGATTTTACTCTAGTTGGACATGCCCACAGATTACGTTTAATCACTCCCAATGTCTGTTTCGCCTTAGTTGTGATATTATTAACATGTGCACCCCACCTCAGTCCGCTTGTCAGTGTGACGCCCAGATACGGATGGATTTTTGTGGTTGATTTCCCCCTTTGCCGATTTCTACTATTTATTCAGCCTGCAAAGGAGTCTGGTGGGGACTAACAATATATTACTGAGTTTCTAACTTTTGAGCATGTCAGCAGGAGGGAAGTCAAGGTGGAAACATGGTGAGAGAGCATGATGGTCTCATTGGAAACGTCTAGGGCACTGGTGAGCACCTGAGAACCAGACCACCACGGGTTCACATTGGCTTCGCTCTGATGTCAGTTCAGTTGTGGAACCTCTTGTTACTCACTGAGATGCTGCTCACCATATATTATATACATGAATGTTGTTTGAGTACCAATAAACAGATTGACCATGCGTAGGTAAACGTTATTATTATTTATGTAATCCTTATCAGTTTATTTTGGTGGGGGTTTTAAAAAGGAGTATGTTTCCTGTTACCCCTATCCATTTACACATTTGTTGTAATAAAGTTGTAATAAATAAAAGTTATGCATTTGTTTTGCAAAAGTTACCTTTCTAGTTGTCTTTTTCCTCCCCTGTGTGGTGAGTATATAGGGTCCCTGTGTGGTGAGTACATAGGCTAGGATATCTAGGAAACTCGCACGCCCGGGTTCGTTGACCGAGAAAGGATGTGACCGGGCAGGGTGGGTTTCGCAGCCCGAGGACATGTATGGTAGCCTCCATAGCATGCCAAAAACTGTGGGTTTGGGGGGTCTTCAGGGTCTTTGGGAGCTTTTATGTGCTATTTTCTGATTGCATATAGACAACATAGCCGGCCTGGTTGAATTACCCCCCCGTTTTTAGAACTGGGCTAATCAGAAAACAGCCGAAGACCACCAAACCCCCAGTTCTATAAGCCTGCTACGGAGGCTAATCAGAAAACAGCCGAAGACCACCAAACCCCCAGTTCTATAAGCCTGCTTCGGAGGCTAATACTAGTATATATCGTGACACTACGGAATTATAGGACCGGCACAAGAGTCAAATTTAAAGAGCAGTCTAATGGTTTCATGTTTATCTTAATAGAAAGTCAAGTTTTACGCAAGAAATATTTAGAGAAAGAAGGAGAGAAAAAGAGATTGTGTGGGGGGGGGCGTGGCGTGTATGGCGTGGCACTACGGGTGTAATGGACTGGTACTGGTACTACAAGAACAGTAGAGTGGTTTCATATTTATCTTAATAAAAGTCAAGTTTATGCCAGGCAAGAAAGAGAGGGGGAAGAGAGAGAGAGAGTGAGAGAGAGAGAGAGAGAGAGAGAGAGAGAGAGAGAGAGTGTGTGTGTGTGTGTGTGTGTGTGTGTGTGTGTGTGTGTGTGTGTGTGTGTGTGTTTTCTACAATTAGGAGTGAATCAGTAGCCTTTTTACCTTTTATTGTATTCTAATGTTGTGTAGATACTGTTTAAATAATTTTACCTACAATCAGCGACAATTCGACACCTGGTTCTATTCGTCCACGGCCTTTGAGCATTACTGAACTATACAATGAGTACGCATTATCACCTGTAAATGCATAGCCTTTTAATCCGACTAATCGAACTGTATTCTCAACTTTTCTATTGTATGCACAGTCAGTGTATTTAATGTATTAAATGAACCCCCAATGTAAACGTTGTCGAACTTCATGTGCAAATTTTTGACATGCCAATCAAGCCAAAGTAAATAAAACTGAATGAGTGATATAGACAATGAAATTAACATAAAAGTTCATCTGTGTTGACGGGTCCATTCCGTGAACAAGGTTGAAGGAGTCAGCCGAAAATTTGAGGTAAGTCCCAATTCATTGTAGTGTTGGAAGGAAAGTTTAGTCTTTATTTCATAATGACAATGGAATTGTTTAGAATTCGTAGCGGCCGAAAGCTCATAGCGACTTTGTCCCAGGCACAATGACAAAGTTTCAATCCTTTATTCATACACAAACAACGGGGCCAAACTTTCGACCACACTATAACAATGCCAAACCATAAAAAAAAACGCTTAGTCACTCTGGAGTGGGCCGTGCCTGATGCAATATCCAGTGCGTGAATGACGCAATGTTGTAAGTAGGGTGTACATGTATGTACACAAACTGAAGGAGCAAAGTGCGTACCATGCTCTCTGTGTGTATGTGTGTACATACCAATCTAAGGGCCCTTGAGTGCAAGCGTTTATATAACACATAGTATGAAAATCTTATCACGGTGCCAAGTACGGCCAATCGTAACCTTCACCACAGGGGCAATGCCCTCTCTGAAAACTTTACTACCAGACTGTATGCTTTTGAATAAACATCTACCAAACCCAGGATATCTGCAGGATATTTTCGACAGTAAAAATGCAGACAGTGAGCCAATGTTCTGATTGGACCTTACCCAAAGAATGGAGTTAAAATGATTTTAACTCCCTGCCCAAAGCAATGCTGTAATCTTTCCCTTCCTCATACTAAGAAATGAGTCGGGATCCAGAGCCCTTAGGGGAGGGAAGGGTATCTCGCTTTTGGCACCGCCTGCGTAGCCGCAAGATCAAGAACAATGGAGGAGAGCGTACTAAAAGTCCAAACAATCCGCTGTCTACTAAAATTAAATCCAGAGGCAGTCCTGGTATCGTTTAGCTCGATCGATCTGCCAAGGAGTCTGCGAGAGCTCAAAGTAACGTTTTCAGCAGTAATACGCCAGGTGATCTCCTGATCACCACACGATCGATACTCTCCAAGCAGAGGTTTGGGTTTGGGGGGTATTTTTATCGTGTTTTTCGGATTTTTTATCGGGGTTTCTCTTTTGCACTGAATTTTTTTTTTGGGTTTGGTGAGAAAAAAAAATCAGTGAAAAAGAGAAACCCCGATAAAAAAGCCGAAAAACACGCTAAAAATACCCCCAAACCTCTGCTTGGAGAGTAAGGGATCGACCGATAGGGTAGATTTGGGGGCGAAAAAGGGTCTCGGCTCCCGGGCGAATTTTAGATTTGGCGACCTCCCAGCGATCAACAAATACGACCGAAGCCCGTCGACCGTGTGACGTCGGCTTGATTTTTCAGTTTAACCACTTTTGTAGAAAGTTCAAGGACGGCTAAGCGGACTCTGCGCGTTCTGGACAGGGATGACTGTTCGGTCACCTCGACCTTTGTCTGATTGATATATATCCTGTAACTAAACCTCAAAAAAAAATAAAGACTGTACATTTGATGCAATTTATAATTAAAGCAGAAGTACTGTTCGCTGAAGATCGAAAGCTAGCCTTTCTGCAACTTTGAATGTCGCAATACGGTGAAGCCCTGAAATTAAATCTGTTACTGTACAGTAAACGTTACTCACGTTCATATAAGGATGGCTACTTTCCTATATCAGTGTTATAGCGTCTTTGTTGCTGTCAATCACTAGTTCTGAAAGATATTGGGTTGAATATTCGATGTACCTTTTTCAATTTGTAAAGTTTTTTTTATCTAAAAGTGAGTATTCATGAGACCTTCACAACATACGCCCGCACGGGCAAAGAAGAAACAATTCTTACTCCGTCTATTGTAACAATGATGCAGCATATACTATTCAGCGTCCAACATATATTTATTGTTTTCTTAAGTCTATATGGTTATGTAATGTAAAATAAAGATTACAGCATGCAGATGTGAACGATTTACGTACCTTTGCACGTGATAGTCTCGTGCTCAACCGTTAAGACCACAGCAAGTACATTTTATGGATGACATCCTCCGCAGACTCTAAATCTAACGCGAGCGGGCGAAAAAAAACTTAGTTTTGATTCAGTGGGAACATCACATATACACAGCCAGCATCACATATCACTGCATCAAAGTAAGAAACAAAAATTAAATCAGAGCCTTGTCTCCTCTCTTCATAGTTATCTGCCATCCACCTTCCGGCATGGCAACAGATCTGCAGACAGCTTTGCCCATTTTCGGCATGTTCACCACTGTCAGAAGGCAACAAAATTTCTTGTTGTTTTTTTCTTCCAAAATCAGGCGAAAATGAATGCGTGCGCTGATGCCATCCATGAAAATTACTTGCTGCGGCCTAAGTACACAAAAAGAGCAAGGTACACCTTTCCCAGGACTATATGCGTGACTTTAAGTACATATAATCGCTGAGTCACTCTTGATTTTGCAAAAATGCCAGCATAAACTTTTATGCAAATAAGAAGTGATAGCCCCACCGGAACGTCAGCCAATCAGAGACGAGCATATTTAGTAACTATGGTAACACGCATGACTAGACACTGTTCTCGGGTGCATATATGAAGGAAACCACAAGCGCCAAGAAGCCACTTTCAGAAGCGGTTACTAGAAACGCCTGTGCCCAGGACACTTGTGGTGAGAGTACTGAAGTCTACAGCGGTATCTCCAGCCAGCTCGAGTCTATAAACCAGCGACAATTCTTCAAGAATAGTTGGATCTCCAAAGACTACCTGAAGCACAAAGGTAAGATACTTACTTCAGTGATCATGCATCCCAAAAACTGCCCCTGTCCGGAGTAGGTTGGACCTTTCTTTCTTAGGATTTCCCTCATATCTGTCGTTTATTTCTCTCTGTAACATTCTTCATTTCTTTTTCTTTCCTTTCTGTCTTTATCCTTTCTTCTTTTCTCTCAGCTCCCTTACTCATGAATTGAACGGATGTCAAAACTGTGCGTTTGGAGGGTAGAGCTATAAAGTTTAAGTGCTTTGAAAGTGCGCTGAAACTTTGCCGTCACAATTGTGCGGTTAACATTTGTCTTGAATCTAGCCATCACTTTATTCTACTAGTTCTGATACTTACGCGCAAAATTCGTCATGTATATGCGGTGTTAGCATGTAGCAGTTTAAGAAATAGTGATCGGTAGCTTGGCACCCTTTTAGCAAGCAGACACCAACTTGCAAACGGTGATCACAAAAAATACAGTAGTAGCATCGACATGTACTTGAACATGGGTTTCGGTACGTAGCGCGAGTTTCCGCCAAGCTTCCGATATATCCAACGGGCTCGTCCAACTACACCACTAAGACTACTGGCGGAAATACAGCTGAGTTTCGCTGGGCCAAACTGAAGAGACAGCAGGAACAGTGCGAAATAATTAGTTTCCCGTGTGGTTCTCCAAATAATTCAACGTTTGCAATTCTGTGCTGTTAACATGAAATATCTGAGGGATATTATAGCAGGGTGTCTTTTCAAACCGAACATTTGCTGAACATTATATTGTTCGTGGAAACATACTCTGATTTTTTTATCACACAACAATGCATGTATTGTATTGTATTGTATGATTTCTATAAACTTGCTGTTCTCTGAGCGCGGACCAACGCCCCTGGCATATTATCTACTTGGTCAATTTCAACTCCCTCCAACCGCTTCCCGAAACCTGGTAGACGCCAGTTTTCTTGCGCTCGCGCCCATGTACGCAGTTTTTGTACCGCACTTTTTGCCAGCGTGTGCGTGTTTCTGTAACCTCTACCAGGCACCGCGGATCGCTGAAAAAATAGTAGAAATTGGCCGAAATAAAGAATCGTGGGTCTTCTCTGGCCGGCTACCTCCCCTGGTATATTATTCCTTTATTTCGGCCAATTTCTACTATTTTTCTAGCGATCCGCGGTGCCTGGTAGAGGCTAGTGTTTCTGTCAATGAAAGTTATAACTCCATAAACCTTGGAATCATTTTTCTCTGATATCTAGATGTCTTTCTGCTGGATGTCCCCTCACAAGTCTCACAAGTCTAAGACAGACGCCCTGCACGAGTACAGAGGGGTGATGTTCCCGAGGGGCGTGGCCAGGGAGCACCTAGACGCCATGCCGAACTTCCAGACACGCGACGACGACATTGCAGTTGTCAGCTACCCCAAGACAGGTGGGTACCAACTGCTTGGTCACTACAGTGGTCTCCTTATACTCGCGCTTTAAGTTACAAGTTTGTGTTATGTGTTTTTACAACAACATTTTGCTGGAAAATCTTAGGAAAGACGCTTTCGCAGACACTTTGACAGATTTCATTTGTCCCTTTGTCTGTTCTGTCAGTATAGTTGTTTGTTGTGTGCATTCTGGTTACGTATGTGATTAACTTGCGCAAAGGAACCACTAGCATAATTTTAACGATGTTCGGCATATATTTAAGCCACCCAATTCTAGAGCGCAGTCTCTCTGGTTGTGTACTTAGCGTTCAGTAAAGTGCAAGATAAGAACAGGAGGAAAGAAGAAGGCTTAGTGTTCGAAAATAACAACAGCGCATCATTTATAGTATGTGCAGCTAATGTCAGTGCTTTGTCTTTTCATTGTTTAATTGTACGCAACTGTGACCACCATTTCTGTGGCTTTTGTATTTTTTATGTATAGTTTTTCAATACAAGCACGCAATTCAGCACCTTGGCGCTGCTATCTACTTGGGATTTCGAACAATCAACCTCTTTTGAAAATGAACCTCTTTTTTTCCGTTCCATTCAGGCACCACGTGGATGTTGGAGATCGTGAGCCGAGTCCTGTCGGTGGGCGGGAAGGCTGACCGGACGTCGGAGGAGATCGGGCGGCTGTTGGAGGCCACAGTCCCCGGCACCGCCAGGCCGTCCCACGTGTCCCTGCAGGACATGCCCTCCCCGCGGGTCATCACCACTCACCTGCCGAGACAGTTCGTCCCGCCCGGGTTATCCAAACCAGCAGGAAAGGTGAGAACAACATTGTCGTTTTTATTCTCCTATTTCAACCACAACTATGACTGAACGTTTTAGTCTCGTAAGTTCACTTATTATATTATAAATGACGTTATGTGTTTCAAAACCCTCCGGAAAGGTGAGGAAAAACATCGTCCTTTTTATGTTTACCGAAGGAAAACATCTTGTTTTTGCTACGTTTCCTTTTCTTCTTCCGTTCCAAACACTAACCTCTGACCTGGCCAATGACCTGATTTGTTGATGCCTGTCACCATGGTAACTGGTGTTGGGTTACATCATGTTGCAATTTCATAGCAGGAGGGATTTAGACTCATGTCTGACCATACATATGAATGTATTTGAGTAAGAATTATGTATTTCAGTAAACATTATGCATTTGCTTTGCAATGTTATCTTTCTAGTTTTACTTCAACCCCATCTCTGACTGACCGTTTTGACTGACTGTAACAAAACTGTTCACTATAAGACGAAAATGTGACCCAAACTATTCATCCCACTACTCCTGTTAGGTGAAGGTCCTTGTTGTGATGCGGAACCCTAAGGACACGGCCGTCTCCAGTTACCACTTCGTCAACAAGACACACCAGCAATCAGGCTCCAAGGCGCCGCTCAAGTGGGACAGCTTCAGCCAGGAGTTCCTACAAGGGAAAGGTGAGGGAAGGAACGAATGAAAAGTGATGAATGAATGAGTGAGTGAGTGAGTGAGTGAGTGAGTGAGTGAGTGAGTGAGTGAGTGATGAAAGGAAGAGGGAAGCAAAGAAGGGAGAAGGAAGGAAGGAAGGAAAGAAAGAAGGGAGGAGGAAGGAAAAAGAAGGAAGGGAGGAGGAAGGAAATAAGGAAGGAAGGAAGAAAGGAAGAAGGAAGAAGGAATGAATGAACGAAAAGAAGTATATGCGGAATCCTATCGAATCTACTGTGTGAAATGAAGGTAGAACAGTACCAGTAATGCTGTTATACACCTCTTTAAGACTCAGCTTTATATAGCTGATTTGTTTTAAAGCATTCTGCAGGAGGTAAGATACTTACTCTTTCCTATCCCTGTCCCTACAGCCGGCTGGGGCTCGTACTTTGACCACCTGTCGGGCTGGTGGCAGATGCACAACGACCCCCACTTCCTCTTCATCAAGTATGAAGACATGAAGAAGGTGAGGCCACATGTTTGTGTACCTGACGAAAGTAGAATAGAAGATGCGCAGCATGTACCTATATCTTTTGAGTGTTTGGTGGAGCTGTGTTACACTTGATTTTAAAACTGGTTCTCAGTCACTGGTGAAAGATAGATTGTTCTGTATTTATAATGTAGCGTTTGGAAGGACAACTTGTAAAGGTGTCTATACACCTGTTTTGCCCGCCCTTTCACTTGTATATTTGTAACTTGTGGTAAATTCAAATACACAAATAGCAGATGCCCTCTAATAATACGCCTGACTCTTCGGTAAAATAACCCTGTTGCTTTATTCATTTTTTTATTACATAATGGAATATGATTCTTAAAGGAATAGCAGAACGCAATGTGTGAAGGGACTCAATTAAGTACGTTGTCCTCATAAGTCTTATAACACATTGCCTACTCGGCCACATTGTAAATTTGTATGGAGAGCTGTCATAAGACATTTGTTACCTGTCTCCTGTTACTGTATTGCAATGTGTATCATTCTTGATTGTAAAAGCAATTAGCCTTCGGGCATGATTTTGCGAATAATAAAGTTACTTATCTTTTACCCCCAGGATCTCCGTGCAGCAGTTAAAAAGGTGGCGAACTTCCTTGAGGTGTCCCTGGACGAGGACACGCTTCAGGACGTGGTGAACGACTGCACCTTCGGCAGTATGAAGGCCAACATGGCCAAGTCACAACATGCAGGGAAGAAAGTCCTCGCCAGAAAAGGTGCGTAGCAAAACACCTCACCCATTTTACTATCATGAAAGTGCATCTGTGTTGGTACGAGCGTAGTTGTATATACATGTTTAAAGTTAAAGGTTTTGATCCAACCCCAAAAAAATTCTCTCACCTAGATCTATCGACCAGTCACTCTGGGCTTCCTCAGTAGACTGACCCGGTAGAATTATAAGCCACGTGACAAGCCTCGCCTCGCGGGTCAGTCTACTGCAGGAGACCAGAGTGAGAAAACTTCTTTGTGTTGGATCAAAAGCTTTATCTTGCCCATTTTGTAAGAATAAAACAATACACAAAGAAGTTGGATTCAATAAAGATGGAAAACATATTTCAGATACGTAGAAAGTTGAGAGAATAAAGATGCCAGTTCAGACAATTTGATGTGCACACAAATGCCCCGTTTTATGTTGCTACGGTGCACGGAGAGTAGCGACAGAGCATGGGGCATGGAAGAGATGGAAAAGCCACAATCTTCTCCAGAAACCTGTGCTTGGAGAGTACGATATCGTCCAGTTTCGTTCTGTTGCAATATTGTACAGTATCGCTAGATGGCTCTAATTCACAGTCACTAACACCAGCTTATCCCGTGTTTGTCTGCAGGTGTTGTTGGGGACTGGAAGCAGCACTTCACACTGGAGCAGAGCGACAGTTTCGACGCCATGTTCAGGAGGGCGTTAGGCGGAACTGGGCTGGACTTCGAGTACGACGAAGCTGACGGGCCTGTGCCAGCGAGACTACATGTATAAGTATTTTTATCGTGAGGAAAAAAGAGATTTGATGTAGCCTTGTAACGTCACTTTTGGTATCGGTTGACACCCATACTTTAGTCTGAAAACTGAAAGAAGCATTTTGTACATAAACATTTCAGCCAGCAGCCATATGCATTTATTACTGTGAAGTATGCTCTATAAGAACTATATATCGTGAGAAAAAAAGAGATCTAATGTAGCCGTGTAACGTCACTTTTGGTATCGGTTGACACCCATACTTTAGTCTGAAAACTGAAAGAAGCATTTTGTACATAAACATTTCAGCTAGCATATGCATTTATTACTGTGAAGTATGCTCTATAAGTATATATCGTGAGAAAAAAGCCGTGTAACGTCACTTTTGGTCAATGGTTTGTTGGCACCCATACACATTAGTCTGAAAACTTAAATAAGCATTTTGTACATAAACATTTCAGCCAACAGCCATATGCATTTATTACTGTGAAGTATGCTCTATAAGAACTAAATATCGTGAGAAAAAAAGAGATCTAATGTAGCCGTGTAACCGTCACTTTTGGTCAATGGTTTGTTGGCACCCATACACATTAGTTTGAAAACTTAAATAAGCATTTTGTACATAAACATTTCAGCTAGCAGTCATATGCATTTATTACTGTGAAGTATGCTCTATAAGAACTATATATCGTGAGAAAAAAAGAGATCTAATGTAGCCGTGTAACGTCACTTTTGGTATCGGTTGACACCCATACTTAAGTCTGAAAACTGAAAGAAGCATTTTGTACATAAACATTTCAGCTAGCATATCCATTTATTACTGTGAAGTATGCTCTATAAATATATATAGAAATATATGAGAAAAAAAAGAGATCTAATGTAGCCGTGTAACCTTACATTTAGTGTCGGTTGGCACCAATATAGTCTGTTACTTGATAGACAGTAACATTTTTGTAAAAACTGAAAGAGGCATTTTGTACATATAAAACATTTAAGCTGGCAGCCATATGCATGTATTACTGTGTAGTATTACTAACTTCGTGTATCCTCAACAATTAGGCCATGTTGATTTGATTATATGGGTGACATCCGCGCGCGCATGAATTTTCGGCCGTTTCCAAAAAAAAATTTTCAACCATACTGTTAATCGTACAAAACAGTTGCAAAATGAGCAAAAATATGCCGTAAGTTACAGAAAAACCATGCCAATGTCGTAGAATGCCAAAATCAAACAAAAAAGACGAAATTGTAAAGAAATGAACTTGAAGACTAGATTATTCGCCAAACCATATTCTGTCCCATTTGTTCAACCCTCATGACCACGTAGATTTCATAATGAAAACAACCTTTTTTTTTGCAAAACTTTTTTTTATTCGCACGCGCGCATCAATTTTGGGGTTCCCGGAGGATGTCATCCATATAATCAAATCAACATGGCCTTACGGAAGAAGAAGAAGATGTTTAGTGTTGAACTTGGTGAGTGTTGTATGTTTTGTGTAAAAACGTTCTCACGTTTTCTTTATTTTAACCTCACTTTGTATGTTTATTTGTTTTTCTTGTGACGTCTTGGAAATATTTTATTCAGTTCGTTTTAGAGATTTTTGTAAGAAAGAGATTTTATTCAATAAAATTTACGTACGGTAGAAGCATGTGTCAGTGGTCTTTATCCAGCCCACAAACAGATAACGTCGCTAACCATAGATATTGTTTCCCTAAGCAAGTGATATACATGTATAGCAAACATGGTCCTGTAGAGAAAAACACAGATCTTTAAACAAATCATCAATTTAGTGTGTCTTTTACACCCTCCATCCAATTACAAATAGACATGACAATATCTCATATAGCATATAGGGTCATTATACTAAGTGCTTTTCCATAAATGGAAATATACTGCACACATGAACGATTTTGCCCCCCTCCTTCCCACACCGTCGGTGACAATATTTGTCGTTTCCCTACTTATAATATGCTTATTATATAACCTGTATAGCATTTTCCACATTCTTTCAAATGTCAAATGTTGTTGTCTGCATGTCTGGCAGTAAACGGTGTGACTTATGCCTGAGTTGAGTAAGCGTATAACGCTTGAGCGAACACAATTGTTGACGGGGTCAGTGAACATACTTATATACAAAAGCGCGGTCCCATCTCTGTAATAGCTTAGGGCATTTTCATCAGGCGATCGTATCATGCGCATACTAATGCGACAGGTGGCAAAAACGTACGGCTTTTTACATTGTCTTCTCGGAGTCTAAGCCAGGTAATACTGTAGCAGTGTGTTGGACTATTGGAATGGGGATGCCCGAGGACTTTACAACTATTGACTACAAAATTTTGAAGCTGGATTTTTGATAATTTTTCTACAACTGTTGCTTCTGCTGTCATATAATTATTTTCAAAACATCTACTTCCGGCAAGATGGCGGCCTCGGCTCAGGGCCAGCGTCGGCCTAAGGCCGTGCCGCTGTTGGACCTTCTAACCTGGACCGACACGGTTCTGCCGCTGGATCTGGTGTTGGAACAATTTCACCTGCCTCAGATCGTCAAGCTGGCGGATAAAAACGACCCGGACTTTCCCGGAGGAGCCATAGTTTTACTGGTCGGCTTACGGAAGGAGAACTCGAGGTACGTGGTCGCCAGGTGCATGGCTGGAGACAGGGACAGGACCATGGTCGGTCCCTGGCTGTCCATTCCCCTCTCATGCAAGTCCAGGTTCGTGCGAATGTCGAGCGAACAGAGTATTAAGAAGGATAGGTTTCATGGGGTACAGGAGTTGGCGGAGAACCTACCAAATAAAGTCATAGCAACACAAGACGTATCAGAGTCAGGGAACGTATTAGTGAATGCTGGCGAGGAAATTCGCTGCCTGGGTATAGAAGGCATGGAAGCAAAACCGTCCGGCAAACCACAGTTCAGTTCTACCCTTCCGTGGAGGCTGGCCTGCCTAAACGAAAACAACGAATACGTGAGACTCTCTCTAGAATGCGGTGCAAAGTTTTTGGCTGTCGCTGGCGGCGCTGCCGAGCAGACCACAGACGACGAGGCGACCATAGACAAGCTTGCCTCGGATAACTTCCCTCTCACCGTGCTTCAAACGAACGGAGAAACCCCCAAATTTTGCCAGGACACCTTCACAGGTATCTTCAGGCTTGTACAGGCCAGGGAAGACAGAATGATCAGCGCTTGTCTGCTCAGAACCGGTGCGAACGGCGCCGTTCTGTACCAGTTTCTGGAACTTCCCGCGTCGAATGCCTCGGCGGTCGTCTTGCCCGAAGGCATGCTGAAGGACCAAGGATCGTACAACGTGCTTTTGATGAAATGCTGCGAAGAGCTCAAAGTGTGGAACAACACCGCAAAAGACACGGGAAGCATAACTCGCGTTTTAAATCGAGAATTTTACTTCAAGAACAAGTTTGACGGAAGCTCGAAGACGCAAAGACCGTCTCCCCCACGCCTGACAGTAACACCTAGCGTGGATGAGGGGCTCTACGCACCGCTACAAAGGCAAAGTTCTCCACGCGACCACACACGGCCGCCCACACCGCCACCGATAGAAAGCCTGCGCGCTCTGACGATATCTAGGAGAAGGTATGTGATAATGTCATGATCTAATATGAAACTAGCTGTAAAACTTTCTATCAACAGACGGTGGTCTTTTGACCTAGTGCTTTTATTGTTCTTTGTCAACTTTACTTGTTCTGACATGAAACTAGAAAAACCTATACCTGTAGCCCTTTTTGTCTGGTATTTTACACCAAGCCCTTTTTGTCTGGTATTTCTAAAGCAGCCCCAAACCCTAAACAGCTACCGACTCAAGCCAACCAAGATGCTCTCTTGTATACATACTAGCTTCTGCCAGGCTTCGTGAGGCGGCTGGAAAGACTAGAGCCCAAATAGATCTAGAGAGCTAACATGCCGAGGGAGTTGGTCCGCTCGGGTGCGGCAAAATGTACTTTCCAGCGGACCAACTCCCTCGGCATGCTATCTCTCTATTTGGCCTCTACTCTTTCCAACCGCCTCCCAAAGCCTGTTAGAGGCTATGCCTACCGTAATGTACATGTATCACATTGGAAGTGCTGTATTGTATTGTAGGGCCAGTGAGGGAGATACCACTAGGCTGAGAGGGGGTGAGTCAGGGTCTACAGATGCAGGGCTGTCCCCGTACACACCCCTGCGCAGGTCCGCAGATGCACGTTTCCGTCGCCATAGCAACGAGCACGACGCCGTTTCCCGACCCGGCTCAACCTATCAGCCGCTTCTGTGGGGACCCCTACCGGACAACAACGGCAATGCAGCAGGGAGGAGATCTAGAACGAGGACCGCCAGCGAACCAAAACGAAAGCCGGAAATATAAATATAAAACTCTAGGGAACATCTCTTCATTTGCTTTCTAGCTGACCCACTCTGCAGTTTATCTAAAACGTTAACCAGGGCTTTGTAGCATATTCGTTTTGTTGAGCACTTGATGTTAATAAATTGACATTGGGACACAAATGTCCGTTATCGTTCAAAACACTGAGGCGGGCACCTGGACGTGATGTCCCTTGCGGGATTTTGTCCAGTACTGTATAAGATAAGATAAGATAAGATAAAACTGCATTTGGACGAGTTATGAAGGTAATGAAAATATCATCTAATATAAATGTAATGATAGACTTGCATGTTGCAGTAGTGCTAGCTTCAGCAATTACTTTGGTACACCATGTACTTCTCGTCACTGCTTTATCATTAATATGATGAACAATATCATTTATTGGAAATTCATGCCCATCGTTTGGAAACGTTTTCATTTGTCCTATATGCTAATATAAATTTCGGTGTTTGTTTCGACAACGACGACAATTAAGAGATATTTGTTATTGACGTTTAATTGAAAACAAATATTTACTAGAAAATGTAAGTAGTAGATTTAATAATCCGAAAAAGACAACGACTCAGCATTCATCGTGCATGTTTGACCTTGTAGTTCAGAGGTTCTCTGCGGTGTGGGAACTTCTCTGTTTTTGTTCACCTGCTCTACTGATACCGTTATTGACAGGAAGCCGCTGCGTTTACATACAAAATTGATCTATAAGAGACATGCATGCACTCTGAGGACGTGAAAACTTGGGTATTAGGTAGAATTCTCCACTCACATTGAGAGAAAAATTAAAAACAGTTACTAATTTTGGTGTCCACCAGAAGTGTGTTCAAGCTTTTTTTTATCGGTGTAACGTCAAGTGGTCGCTTTGATACATATAGATATTGTTTGCGTACTGGTGCTTTTTTTTACGGTTTGGTACTGTGTCCCCTTGTTTGATAATGGTACACTCCACACCTTGACGCGTATTTTTTTTACAAGAGCACGTAGACATTTGAACACCTCGAAGACTATACTACGACACAGTACTGACTGGTTTCAAAATTTTTGTCCACTATGCGGCATCTTCTCTTGTCACTGTCCCTTGTGGCGGCCGCCTGGTGCGCTTTTGTTCCGGCGAATAAATTGACTAAAACAACGACCACCTCGCCAGGTAAGAGAGAACGTTAAAAACAAGAATTATCTCTGGCGTAACCGTATGGCACCCTGAAACGCATTTTGTTCGTATAATGATGTAATGAAAATGTATAGAGCACTGCACCAAAGAACTTGATGTGTAGCCATTATATTATTGTGATCATGTCTACTCCAACTAGCTTAAAAAAGGTACACGCCAGTGCAGTTTTAGAATAAGCTTCTATCGATCAGAAGAAAAAAAACCTTAATGATTTCTTTTTTTCTTTCTTTCTTTCTTTCTTTCTTTCTTTCTTTCTTTCTTTCTTCCTTCCTTCCTTCCTTCTTTCTTTCTTTCTTTCTTTCTCTCTTTCTTTCTTTTGAATGTTCATTTAGGGTGCTACTACTATGGGCACTTCTACCAGCTGGGAGAGGTTGTAGTTTCTGAGACAGGCTGCTGGGGGCGCACCTACACATGCGAGGCGAACGGCATCATGGGCCACGGTATCCCCGGGGAAGACTGTAAGTGACACGTTTTATACAGCTTTTCGACAGTTCTATTCATTATTTACATTTATTACAAGACATGAGGACTCAAGTGTTTTCAACTTATATTTATGCCGCCACCAACACATGAATGGACAACAGACATACTCATTTTCACCTGAAAACTTAGACTAGTAGTCAAATTAGCCTGTAAATTAGCATAAGGCACAAACGTGGCGTTCAGTCAGTTGTAAAAGTCAATGCTCATCTGAAAAATCTTTTTTTCAGATGAGCATTGACTGATTGATTGAGTTTCATATGGTATCCACTGGTTGATGTTTAATAAATGATGGGTCATTTTAGTCTGTATAACGCATAACACAAACTCTGCCGTCCGCGGCTTTACTGGCCGGCTGGATGTTGGGCGGCCGGCAAAAACGATTTAATCAGGCTAGGGTCATTTGATCATGATGAAGGCTACATTACGGACAGCAGAACACTGGAACTTGTTTGTTTCACTGGAACCAGGTTCAGCTGCATGCCCATAGCCTTTCGAAAAAAGTTATCTCTGATTTTTCCTTTGAAATCCTCTCAAAAACGCTGGCTGGCGCTCCCTGGTCCCCCAGACGGTAGGAATACCCCCCCCCCCAAGAAAGTCCTGGCTACGGGCATGAGCTGTTAACTGCCGCATGTTTCCTGATACTCCTCTTGTCTCGTAGGTTGCACCCATGAAGGCGAGTATCATGATGACGGTGAGATTTTCTTCGACAGCGCTGGACAAGTCTGTCACTGTTTCGGTAACTCCACAGCGTCTCCTGTACCCACATTTTGTCAATGTACGTACCATAACGTTACACCATCACGTTAGCATGTCGAAATATAAACGTTTTAATGATGTGCTTCTTGTTGTTAGGTTTACCTCCGCAGAAGGAAAACATATTGTTTTCCCTTTGTTTCTTCTTCCTCTTCTTCTTCTCCAAACACATAAGGTCAATGACCTGAACCAGACGTCTGTCACCATGGTAACTAGTGTTGGGTTACATCATGTTGCAATTTTATAGCAGGAGGGATTTAGACTCCTGTCTGACCATACATATCGATGTGCTTGAGTAAGAACAGAGAAGACCATATGCGAAGGTAAACATTAAACATTATGCACTTGCTTTGCAAATGTTACCTTTCTAGTGTTCAAATTTGATTGGTTCCAGCTCTCAGTGAGTTCATGATGTCTGGGTGAGAGGAGAACACACGCTGCTGATTGGTCCAGCGGACTGATGACGTCACCAGCGGGTTCCATCGATCCAACATGGCGTCACAACATGCTGAAACATCGCCCAGTGTCACTCAAATAAAGAAATAAAACTATCATGGGTACTTCCTTGTGATTTTGTTTGTCTTTAGTACAGTCACGGAGTTAGGAAAGTCGAACTTTACGATCATCCTATAAAGTATCTCTTTAAGATTTTTTTTGCCTTTTTTTGTTCAAGCACAAAAAGATAACACACCTTTGCCGCACTCAAGCGTTATGCTTATATTAGTATCTCCACTGAATAAAATAGACATCATAGACAAGATACGAATACGAATCATGGAATGTTACATGACAAGGAAAGAGGAAAGGGTGAAAGGGTCAGGGGTCACGTTTACCTGCCCTGTGAACCAAATCCTTGAGCTGCCACATACGTGAGGGACCAGGTGTTTAGGGTTAGGGCTAGGGTTAGGGTTGATATTACAGATAGGGTTAGAGTTTGGGTTTGAGTTGGGATCGTTGTTCAGGGCTATGGTTAGACTTACGATTGGGGTTAGGTTAGGTTGGGTTAGGTTTAGTCTCCCACATCACGACTAAAACCCTCCCACCCATTGTCTCAAACCCCCAACTAGTGTCGGAGTCATGTATTTGGCAGGATCATGTATTTGACACCTCAGTGCACCTGCTTATCTATATGAGCTCGTTCCCAGGTCAGCCTGGTACATCCCCTGGGAAGGACAGACACGGAAGTGCGTGTCGCCATCAGCGGTATCGCCATTACGGCAGCGAAGTAACTTCAACTTCTACGTGGCCTTTTTACACCTTCATAAGACCTACTACTACTACTATTACTACAAGTACAACTGTAGTACTATTGTGTGGTGGACTTAACGACGATCAGCTACAGGATCTTTCGGAGGAAAAATCAACCTGTAAGGTTTGAGAAAATTGTTCTTGGTTCCGTTATCATTGATGCGGAACCTGTCTATAGTGTACGTGTATTGTACAGGGGGAAATATATGCCATGTAGTGAATAAGGTTTGCAAGTCAATCAATTCTTCCCTACCTAATGGATCACAGATACACTTTGCCTTGTCTGTGTCCTATATGCGCAATGTGAATATAACTGTGCCTACAATAAAGAGCTAGGGATTTTCTGTGTACATGTACAGTACACAGGCTAAACTACTAACGTTAGAAGACAAAAATTCATACAAGAAAACATGGGACCAAAATAAGTACAATTCTCTACCGTTATTCATGATTAGCGAAACCAATTAGTCTTAAACCTGCTTGGTGAAACTAGTGGGCCACTAGTATGGGCGCCACCGAAACTACACCACACCCTGCCCCTGGCATATGACCCATGTTGTTCCACTGGTGCGCATGTGGATTGTGACGCTAGCATTCCCTCCCACCCTCCATTCACACACGCGGTACATTGGTGAATGTCCTTGGTGAGAGGTATATCATACATTTACAAATGAAAAATAGCTGTTTATAAAACGGAAGCATAATTTGTGATCATGAACGTCACAACTTCAGGGTTCTTGAAAAGGTAGCTGTGGAGACCACGAAGAAGAACACACCACCAAACACTCAATGCCGTACGCGTCCGTGGCAGTGCCATTGAAATGTCCATTCAACACTGTTAGTCGTCACATGCCAATGATTTCCGTCAACACTGCAGAACAAATAGAACGGTGGAAGAGAGAGGGGGGGGTGTCCTAGTAAAATTTGTTGTCCTAGGCATGTAGCACTCGGATCTAGAGAGTTTATAATCCATTAACCAGAAAGGAAACATTTGCAAAGCAAAAAAAAAATGCATCATATTTACCTTCGCATATGGTCTGCTCTGTTAATTCTTACTCAAACACATTCATTCATATGGTCAGACAGGAGTCTAAATCCCTCCTATAAAATTGCAACATAACCCAACACTGGTTACCATGGTGACAGACAGTCTGGTTCAGGTCATTGACCTTATTGGTTTGGAGAAGAAGTGGAAACGTATCAAAAACAATACGTTTTCCTTCGGTAAACATAATGATCGACGTCGAGTGTGTGTCGACAAACCACCATTCTTTTGTCTTTTCTTGGATTACAGGAGTCAGTAAGGCGACATGGAGTCCCTGGTTGAAGAACTGACCTGTCCGGTCTGCCTGGAGCTGTACGAACAGCCGGTTCTCCTACCCTGCGCACACAGCCTGTGTAAGACGTGCGCTGGTGAAGTTTTTGCTGAAGCCGCCAGGAAACCGCCTCAACAAGCAGCTGGGCAAGAGGCGACGCCCAAGGTACTAAGTAACACACAAACATCAAAACTATGATTCATATGAATGGAATTTGCCGGATACACACACATGCCATATAGATCAACATTGAAAGTAACCCTACTCGTATATAAGGTATGGCGTCAGGCCATCAACTCAATTAAGAAAACATTGCAATTGCAAGAAATTTTGGACTTACCAATTAAGCCTCGGTCACAACTCGCCGTACGTGCTTCTGCGTGCTGTCTACGTGCAAAAACGTGGGCAAACGTACAGCATCCGTGCGTGGTGAGTACCGCCTCCGTACGGAATCCTACGGATTTGGGAGCACGCAGACACGCCGTAGAACCTTAAGTGCATGTAATACTTTTTCTACGTGCGGTCTGCGGATTTACCACCCGTGCGTGCGAGTACGTGCGACGCGCGTGCCCCGTACAGCCTATGAGCGTGCAACGTACGGACTCCGTGAGTCTAACTTCACTATTCTCACGTGCAATTGCTGTACGGACAGCGCACGAAGCACGTGAGTGCCACGCACGGTGCTTGCGTCATCCGTGCTTACTCCTCACTTCCCAGTTGACCTGCTCAATGACCACGCAGAACACACGTGCACCATACTAGGTGCTCCGCACGTGCAACGCACCTTATTTCTACAGTATATAAAGACGACTTGACGGGCGACTGCCAACTCGTCTCCAAGATGCCCAGGAAGGCTCAAAAGAAGTCTACCAGACAAGATCCAAAGAAACGGGCCGCGGAAGACACCAGGGCGGCTAGTGATGATGAAGTTATCAGGAGGTGCACGCACTTACAACGTGCGAGTGAGTAAGGAAATCGTGCGCACGCCGCACGTGTAGGTACGGCCTGTACGCGGCAACGTGGCAATCGCACAGAGATCGTACGTTGTAAGCACGTACAACTCACTTACCACTTGCGCAACGTACGATGCACGCAACCGCTGACGGCCAGGCGTGTCGTGCAGACCACGTACGTACACCTTGCGAGTGACGTACTCCCTCGGCCGGCCACCCTACGTTTGCAGAAAAAACGTAGCAGACGTAGCCACGACAAAAACGTACGGACAAAAAGCACGCACGGCGAGTTGTGACCGTCGCTTTAGTTGCTACCATTGCATTTGAAATGGTAGCAACTGTAAACAGAAACAGACTGTACAATGGTGGCAAATACTTTGGTAATTTCATTTCAGTTCTGTTAAAAAGTAAACACTATCCGACTTTACTGACATTTACTACCATTTGTAGATGCAAATTTTCATGTCTCCTGTAGCAGGCTCTGTGCCCCAGCTGCAGGCATGAGTTCCAGCTTCCCGAACTCGGAGTGGAGGGCCTCCGCCGGAACACCACGCTTCAGAACATCGTGGACCGCTACCGGGAAGCAAAGAACACTGCGGCGGTCACCAAGGCGGTTCCCTGTCAGATGTGTGACCAGGAACCACCAAACAACGCAGTGAAAACCTGCCTGGATTGTAACAATTCCTACTGCGAAACGTGTTTGGCGACTTTTCATCCAATGAGGGGAGGCCTGGCCAGGCACACGCTGACTGAAGCATCGGCAGCAGCTCCTAAAGTACTCATGTGCACTGAGCATCCACAAGAGAAGGTAGGACAGAAGAAACTCGTAATTACTTCCTTGATGTTTTCGTTGTCTCTGTTTGTAGGAATAAATTGGTTAGCATGACCCCACGAGGTAGTGCTCTACCAAAGTTTCCTTCCTAAATGCATTCAGAATGGCAAATGGATCTTTCGTATGATGCTCATTACTATTCTCCCTCAGGTGAACATGTACTGTGCGACAGACCAGAGTCTAGTCTGCTCTTTGTGCAAACTGGTCGGAAAACACAAGGACCACGAGGTCGCCGCAGTGTCGGACACTTTCCAACAGAAAAAGGTAAATACTAGTACTAGTATGTAAGACATTAGCAGGAATATGGCTGGGGGGAATGGTACACAGGGTAAACATGATTAAGCTTATTTTTCTTTGTTGTTTTTTGTAGACCTCTATCGGTGGGCGTGTTGCGGGACTGATTCAGCAAAACGCTGAAGTAGAGTGTTTCGTGGATAAGATCCAAGGAACCATGACCAAAGCTGAGGTATGAAGATGTAGTGTGAATACAACGTGTCCCTCAAGGTTGCTTTAAACTAAATTAAAAATGCTACGTATGCCAAGCAATAGATAGGTATACGTGTGTCTGATTGTTCATCTATATATTCTCTGGACTGTCCCAAATGATATTCCTTTTCATGAAATGTACTGATAAGCATACATTTTGTGGTTGCTTCGTGTCTGGATCGATATAAAGTTCTGCTACGAAAACGCTTTTCTTATTTCCATGCAGCAAAATTGTACCGACATTCAGGAGCGGGTGGAGGCCTTCGCCCAGACTCTGACTACTGCCATCGTGAAGAGGAAAGGCATACTGCAATTAAAGGTTGCCGTAGAGAAGGACCAGAAGCTGAGGACCCTGGGTAAGCAGCTTGACCAATGGGCAGACACCGGGACGGGCATCACAGCTGCTATCGCAGAGGCGGAGACACTTCTGAATGAAGAGGATCCCATCGCCTTTCTACAGGTACAAAAGCACTACTCTGATTTTGCACAAATAATCATTAACTGTGCTATTGTAAAATACAGTGGCATTTTAATAAGCTTGAGGTCTTTATTCAGGGTACCAATCAAAGATGTAAAAAAAAGTGCAATGTAACTTAATGAACTGCGATGTTTTATAATGGTCAGAGTTAATGTAACTAAGTGACAGGATTGAAACTGAAACAAGGGATAGCCTTGCCATAAATGTATGAAATGGTCTTTTAGATATGAGCAATAAAGATATTTATCTTTCCAGGCATCTAAGGCGGTAGAGGACAGGTAAGATACTTCACTTACACCTTTAGTAACCCATGGCTATATACTAGGCTAGGCCTGTTGAATAAACTATGCCAGTTACCAATTCGTCATCTACGGAAATTATGGTCATTTGATGTACAAGTAGTTTTGATTCCTTGAAGCCAAAAATGCAATTTTCATTTATGTAGATCTTCTTTCATCAATGTTTGATGCTTTGGTAACAAAACACAAGAATGCCAAATATTGTTACGGTATGACATGAAATGATCCTTGAAACTTGATCCTTGTATTGCCAGGATTGCTGCCTTTAAGTTCCTGGAGGAACGCAAGTTGAACACCACCGACCAGTTCGTCCACAACACTCTTGGGGTCTCCGACCTGGAACAGAGGGTGTCAGCACTGGATTTTCTGCAAGGTTCGTTTGTACATTCATACTGGCCAACACTGCCATGTTTTTTGATTGAACTTAAATGTGCGAGTTGCATACTAATTACAAGCTGAAGTTTAGTTGTGATCAAAAATGTAGGTTGAACTTACTCTTTGATATGTCCAGATTGGAGTAGATCATAAGCAAAATTGTAGTTACATGGACATTAGATGATATTAAAATGGCAAAGGTTGTATGTTACATTAGATAGACATTTTAGATATACCACAACCGCGAAGACATGTGGTTAACGTTGCTGCTAAATGAAATTTTCCCACTATTCAGCTCCAGAAGCGCCAAGGATGCTGACCGACCAGTGCACGTCTGGCCCTGACTACATCACCGTTTGCTGGGCTGCAGGGGGGAACACGCCTGTCGACAAGTACAAAGTTTGGCATGGAAAAGCAGGCGAGGGCCATGTCTTGCATGCGCAGCAGACAGTTCCCTCCACAACCAAGTCCATCAAACTGGAGGATTTGGAGGAGAACACTACTTACACGGTTGTTGTTGTCGCCATCAACGAAACGGGACACGCAGCATCCCAAACAGTGTCCATCGAAACAAGACGTGGTGGTGAGTTATGTTTCTTCGATCTGTAGGATTAAGCTGTTTCCAACGTGTACTAAGGTGTACACCTGTTGTACTTCTCATTGTGTGCCGCAAAAGCTATTCATACTACGTACCATGTACGTTCAAATGTCCTCGTTTACGGGGAATTAACAGTTTGTTTATTTGACTGTTTTTTAACAAGACCTCATAATACAATGCTAGTATGCCATCACTTTCCTCAGAGATTAGCACCCCCTCCCAAGATGTGAGCAAAAAATGAAATTTGAACCTCGTTATAGAGGCATACATTATGTACTCCTACACATGTGTAAATGTTGTCCAAAAACATGAAATTGATGCTGACCATTTTTCTATCTCATGTCAGGTCAGCTGCAGTTCAAACTTGACAAAAACACAGCAGAACCACCAATGGTCGTGGCCGGTGATGGCATGTCTGTTACATGCTCTCAAAATGTTACTGACGTACCTCTCCGTGGCCAAGCGTATGGTTTCGCCCAAGGCATCAGCCGACCATATTATGAAGGTTACGGCGAGCCCGGATCATTACGGGGCTACAACCGACCACCCAAAAGTAAACCACTTTTAGACTCAAGCGTGTTGGGTGATGCTGCCATTGGGAATGGACAGCGCTATTGGGAGGTAAATGTGACGGGAAGCTCTGATTTTGGTTTGGGTGTAGCCTACACTGTGCAATTACAGCAAGTAATGAGGGTAGATCGGTTCCAGCGGCGCGGTCCACTTAACTTAAAACAGCAACAGCAATATAAACATGTACGAGTATCAATGATGTATGCTTCTTTTTGTGGGTACGGGCCCAACGGTGACAAAACGTACAAATTTTCTTATGTTGGGATGGACGGGAAGGTTCATATCATTCCACCCGATCATGAACGCAACTTGACCAAAGTGGGTGTCCTTCTTGACCACAATGCCGGCTCTATCTCGTATTATGACCAAAACCACCGCCTGATCACGTCACAGGCTGAACAGTTTTCCGAGCCTGTATTTCCTTGTCTTGTTGTGAAGGATCAGGGAGGCACACTCAGTCTGGTACAGGACTGTGTCTGGCCCGATGGCTCAGTCTGGTCTGTGCCTGGCCCGATGGTTTAGAGTGATAGACAGAAATAATTTGTTTACAACAGTGTGTAGTACGCTAAATGTTGGATACATCTATCTGGAATCATTGGAAATGAGTAAAAAGTTGGGAATGAGGAGGAAAAATTAAACAAACTCTTGAAACGTAGCACTTTATTGTATCTGACATATTTGGAAGGGTCATTTATAGTAATGTCTTCTTATACTGAATTTTCTGTTCATTCATTTGTAGAATATCTGGAATTGCTAGTTGTATCTATCTGACCAAATAGTGGCCAAAAGATATGAACTTTTGTTTAACTATTATCTATTACGTAAACCAGACTATTACGTTTTCAATGATGACTACATACCTGCAAATGCACATCAGTTTTTGTGATTTCCTATCATTAATTTCATATTATAACAGTTTAAAAGTTCATCTTTGTTGATAGAAGTCATTTTGTAGAAAGATTAAAATATAACTTCTAACACAATGGGAATATGGGACGTTATAGAAATGGTGGTGCTGTTCGGTGGAAAAATTATCTTCATTATCTTCATACATTTAATTGTGTTGGACACTATAGTTTAATCCGGAATGATGTAATAGTGTTTAGCCCAGACGTTGCGAGTGTGGCTACAGTTTTTTGCCAGACACAACATCATTGTATAATTCCATCCTCATGCCAGATTTGCTAAATCCAATCAGTTTTGAGGTTTTGCTCGATGATCTTTAGTGTAAAAAATATTGCAATTCATAGAAGCATCAATGATGTACATTAATGTACCGTGTACAGATTTTTCATTAAAGAAAACATGGAAACTCTGCTTTACCTTTTGTGCTTCTTGTGGTTGCTATCTAAGACTTTGTTTACATTTCTATCAGTAAAGAGTAAAGCAAACCCGGACGATTTAGACTGATATTTAGGGACTTAGATTTAGACTCCTGTCACCATTTACTAAGTATATATGAATGTGTCTAAGTAAGAATTAACAGAGCAGACCATATGCGAAGGTAAACATTATGAATTTGCTTTGCAAATGTCATTTGTAATTATAACATTGAAGATGCCGAATCTTGGTGAATCAACCGGCAGAAAATCTCAGGACTATAAAAGTGCACCTCTCGACCGATATGTGTCGTTAGTACTATAGTAGTATTTTACCGTTAGAAATGCTCAGGGGTACGTAATGAATAGGTGAGTACTTGAACAGGTCAAAGTTCAATGGGCTCTGTGCGCAAGTCTAGCACCACAAATCAAACAAGTGCTACATTGCTGAATCAACGAGGTTAAAAAGGGTTGGATTCTACATGTATTAATACAGGTAAGGAAAACAATTTTATCATTACTTGTTTGGAAGTCAGTCGGTGCACTTTCTCCGCAATTAGTTGTAGCATACATACGAAATCATCACATGAAATGTCTTCAGAATACCTGTAACGTTACATGTGCTAGCACAACAAATATGGCGGATGTAATATTCATATATTGCCCTCTACTACCTCGGACAATTTCAAGCTAAACATACCCTAAATTGAAATCTCTAGCGTGCAGAAAAAAATCCCAAGCTGCCTGTTCATTTGTACATCTAACCTGTAATATCTTTGAAAGGTCTTAAGCATATGGAAAACCCTTAACTATAAGGTACTCCAAAAATGATCGTGTAACAATGTCGTCGCCAGACAGCGACCTTTGGACTTGCGGTCTCCGGCAAGGTTTTAAAGAATACCGTGCAAAATGTTGCTGGCAACTCGGGGTGGGCGTGGGGGACTTCATGTCGTTTAGCTGCTCATGGTTTAATGTGATAAATCAAATCTTCCAGACAGTGAAATGAAATGGAACACAATGTCGAAAATACGGCAATTAGTAGAGTATGGGAGAGAGGGGTTACGGGTAAGGACTAAAGTGCAAAATGTGGTGCCATATGAGTTGAGTGGGTCAAAGGGGAGTATGTTTTCGAGATGTAAGCATGATATGGATAATAACATTTTAGTCCTTTCAGAGTTGTAAAGTTTGCAGTGCAACAACAAATAGTGTTCTGATGTCTCATGTGGATGCCCACATTTGCACTCAGGACTACTGATACGGTGCTGCTGGAACAGGTGTTAGTTCAGCTGCTCATAGTTTACAGTTCGGAGAAGTGTAATGGGCTTTCATTCATGTCCGTTCGAGCTCATGCAAGCTCTGACAAGCCTAGCCGTCCCTTGATTATAGGAGTCAGTAAGGCGACATGGAGTCCCTGGTTGAAGAACTGACCTGTCCGGTCTGCCTGGAGCTGTACGAACAGCCGGTTCTCCTGCCCTGCGCACACAGCCTGTGTAAAAAGTGTGCTGGTGACGTTTTGGCTGAAGCCGCGAGGAAACCGCCTCAACAAGCAGCTGGGCAAGGGGCGGCGCCCAAGGTAACACAAACATTCATATGAATGGAATCTGTCGAATACACATACATGTCATATACTAGTAGATCAACATTGAAAGTAATCCAATGATGGTAGGCTATGACGTTCTGATTTGCCGTGTCTCCTGTAGCAGGTTCAGTGTCCCAGTTGCAGACATGAGTTCCAGCTCCCCGAACTCGGAGTGGAGGGCCTCCGCCGGAACACCACACTGCAGAACATCGTGGACCGCTACCGGGAAGCAAAGAACACTGCGGCGGCCCCCAAGGCGGTTCCCTGTCAGATGTGCGACCTGGAACCGCCGGCTGAGGCTGTGAAAACCTGCCTGGTCTGCGACACCTCCTATTGTGAAGCGTGTTTGTCAAAATACCATCCCATGAGGGCGGGACTGGCCAGGCACACGCTGACTGAACCATCGGCAGCAGCTCCTAAAGTACTCATGTGCGCTGAGCATGTTCAGGAGAAGGTAAGCAAGCCTTGATGATTGTTTGATGATAGCAGCATTACCAAGATTCCACGGGAAATAAACTAATAGAATAATACAAAGATTTTTATTGCTACAAAGCAAACATGTGTATATATCAATGATTGTTCATCATCATACCATCTTTCCTTCAGGTGACCATGTACTGTGAGGCAGACGGTTGCCTCATCTGCTCCATCTGCAAACTTGTTGGAAAACACAAGGACCACGAGGTCGCCGCATTGTCGGACACATTTCAACGGAAGAAGGTAAATGTGTATGTAAGGCATAGGTGGGCATAGCTAACATGACATGTGCAGAACATATTGATATACTGCATTTACATTCATGGCCTTTATTGGTTGAGTTCAGGAATAGATATCTGATAACTTGCTTGCCCTTTGTACAGCCATTTCGATTGACTAGGCAGCCAAAAACAGTTAACACAATGTTACTTATCACAAGTATCCCAAACCTTCGAAAGGAAGGGTTTTATCAATTGTACACAAGACTCAGTCGCTGCCTTGTTTACTGTCAGAAAATATTGAATTACTTTTGCTAAGTCTTGCTCCATACCTCTGTTGATTTTGCAGGATTCTATCGGTGGGCGTGTCGCCGGCCTGATTCAGCAAAATGCTGAAGTAGAGTGTTTTGTGGATAAGATCCAAGGGACGATGACTCAAACTCAGGTAACGTTGTGTTTCTCTAACCTTACCTCTTTAAATAGCCCTGCATACAATTCAAACTTGGCTTGGTTATCTTACCAAATATTTGTCCAGTCTCACTTTGAACTGAAATATTCTTTCAATGCAGGAAAACTGTGCTGGCATAAAAAGGAGTGTAGATGCGTTTGCCGATAAGCTGGCTTTTGCCATTGCGAAAAGGAAGAGCGAGCTCCATACAAAGGTTGAAGAAGAGAGGAACCAGAAGCTGGGTACTTTGGGTCAGCAGCTCGACCAATGGGCGGACACCGGGACGGGCATCACAGCTGCTATCGCAGAGGCGGAGACACTTCTGAATGAAGAGGATCCCATCGCCTTTCTGCAGGTACAGATATGATATTGATTTATTCGGCGAATTGTTTTGTTCACACTGCAATCAAAATTATCCAAAATTGTGTGAAAAGTTTCAGTTTTAATGTAACTTTATTATGTTTTGTCTTCCAGGCCTCTAGGATGGTGGAAGACAGGTAAGCGCTCTTTTATAAATCTCAGATATTACAAACTATACATTTGTAAGCAAGCGCAAGTAAGCCATCAACCTGTATACTAAATTTTTATACTGTTGTAAAACCATACGGATAACGTATCGATGTATTATATAAGATGGTATGATTTTTGAAAGGCACAGAAAGGAAAAGAAGTCACATATTGCCATCTGGCCATGGTGACTTCTCGTGTCATATTGGACATGTTAGAATTGTGACATGACCAGAAGTGTTATTGTATCGACAGACTCGCTGCCTTCGCACACTTGAATGAACGTAAGCTGAAGACCACCGACCAGTTCACCAACAGCACTGTTGCGGTCTCCGACCTGGAGCAGAAGATATCGTCACTGAGCTTTCTGCAAGGTTCGTTCTATAGTTTTGTGATGTTGTTCCACACTATCGTTAGCATAATGTGCTTTTGTCAAACATGTGCATGCACAGAATGGGTGTTAAATCTAGGATCAGGTCAAGTTGCATGCCAATGAAAGTCGAAGTTTAATTGTCGGCAAAAATCTTGCTTGAACTCTACTTTAATGTAATCTACGGTTTGCTTGTTTTAAGAGCCTACCCATCATTTATATGTCGTATCCAGATGTAATATATAAAAGTGAGAAGTATTGCACAGATCTGACAGGAACATTAGGGGGTAAAATTGTGTGTTGTTGTAACGTATATTAGATAGACACCAGAAGTGTGAAGACGTGGTAAAGAAAAAAAGTGGCTGGAACTAGCAGAGATCCATTTATTTTTCCATTATTCAGTTCCAGAAGTGCCAATAATCCTGACTGGCCAGTGCACAGCTGGTCGTGACTACATCACCGTGTCCTGGGCTGCAGGGGGGAACACGCCTGTCGACCAATACAGCTTCTGGTATAGAAAGGCGAACCAAAGTGACTGGCAAGGCACATTCTTCACCAGCAATACCTCCATCATACTAAAGTCTTTAGAAGAGAACACTGCTTATGCAGCTGTGGTTGCCGCGACCAATGCAGCAGGAAACGCTATGTCCCAACCTGTGGACATCAAAACTAAACGCGGTGGTAAGTATTGTTTTGTTAAGTACTAGTACCCTGTAGCTGTGACGGCACTGTTATCGCCTCCTTGTTCAAAGGTAACCTTAATCTGTACACACCATGCATGTATCCCAATGTAGTCACAAATGACCAGAAAACATCAGTTTTTAAGCAGCCTTATGCAACATAAGATAGCATTTTTAAATGACAATCTTATGTTAGCTTTGCAGTTTGCTCTATGCGGGTCTTCAGAATCAATGGTCATCACCAACAAATGCATGTCTGCCACGTACTCCAAAGACGTCCGTTCAACGTACAACGGGCGCCACAACCAAGAATTCAACGAAGGAGTCGTAACGACTAATGTTGTAATTGATAAAGGACGGCACTATTGGGAGGTAAATGTACAGGGAAGTTCTGATTTTGGGTTAGGTGTTGCGGTGACACGTCACCCAAGGTCAGAAAGTGATCGCAACGTTAGGAGGCCGAGGCCGAGGGGTTACGGTAATTTTGGGTATATGCAATATATGAATTCTTCTCCTGATTCTTCTAATTCTGGAGTCTATGAAACACAGAATATGCCTTTCACCTTTGATTCAAGGTCAATGCAACATGGTATCAATGCTTCTTTGTCTGAGGTTAACCGGAATGGTGAAAAAATATACAATATTTTTTTTGCTACAATGAATTATAGGGCTTTTTGGGATCAGATCAATCCATTGGCATCTAAACATTTGACTAAGGTAGGGGTTGTACTTGACTGTGACTATGATCGTGGTTCTATCTCGTATTATGACCAAAACCACACCCTCATCACGTCTCAGGATGTACAATTATCTAACATGGTATGCCCCTGCTTTGTTGTAAACGATCCGGGGGGCACTCTTACACTGGTACAGGACTGTGTCTGGCCTGAAGCTCTGCAGTAATCAACAGGCAGATATCAGATTGTACACGTGTGTTGTGTAGTACAGTACTTTTCGACATTTCAAACACGAGTATATCTGAAATCATTTTGTGAACGAGTAGCTACAACATCAGTTTTAAATTTTCATATCATCTATCCATATAAATAATTCAATATTTTTGTATTGATTGAGAATGTCCGTAGACTTTATTTTGCCAGCTTGATGCTGTGCATTTGTAAAACGTTGGTAATGATGAATATTGCTGTTTATGATTCATACAAAGATTCAACATGAGTGACACATGTATGAGCAAGAAACGATTCACTAATACCGAATAGAATACAAAATGTCAAGTTCACTCTTTGTTTAGAAAGACCATAATGTCTAGGCAATTGTGGTTCTGTCATCGGCATGGAGTGAATCTCTAGAAATCTGTAACAACATTGCATTTGCCCTAGGAACTGAGAGAGATCACGTATCACTGTGTAGCACGTTTGTTAGACTAGTATATTGTAAGGAAAGGCCATCTGCTTAATGGTAACTACTTCTCGATTGTACTCTCTTTCCTTTCAGTTGTGTGAAATGTGTATTGCATATCTTTGCTCAAGTTATTAGATTGTGGTTAGATTGTGCATTCTTATATCCAGTAAACCTGATTGGACAGAGTTTTGATAATGGTTACGTACATTCCTGCAAATACACATAGGGTTTATTTCCTGATTGTAGATCTCGTGGTATAGGAGGGTTTTAATAATTTGGCATTTGGCTAAAATACCACGATTTAATGAAAAAATAAACATAATATCAGTAACATAACATCAGTCATGTACTACCCCAAATCAAGTCAGTATTGACTTTACTTAAGCTTGTTACTCTGTAACATAGAAATGTTGCAATCAGTCATAGTACCGGGGTAAGCAACACACTAATCCACAGTGTACCTGTATCTATATGAGGAAATGTATTCTGTGTAGTTTAGAATAGGTACGTGTTTATGCATATTTGCCAATAAATCGCATAACTCTACATGGAGACTCTGCTTTCCTGCTGTTTTGAAGTTATTAAGTGTTGAAACCTGTCTTTGATTGTCCTTGTGGGTTGATGTACCTGTATGTTTATGTGCAGATGTATTCAATGTCCAACTGTAGTGGTTTACGTGTATAGTCAAGGAACAATACGCACTCAAAAAACTCTTGAAACAGGGAAGATTTATTCAGCCAGTTGTTACGAGAAGGTCTGCAGTATTAGCTACTTTTAATCTAAACCTATTCAATCATACAAAGAGTTGGCTGTATGCATTTTTAGCTGTAGAGTACTTGTCATGCATTGATAGCTGGCAAACAACTATAATTCTACTTGCGTAAGCTGCTGTATAAAACTACAACTGCCTAGCGTGTGTACGCTAAACACTAGAGCTAGCACTGAAGGGCTCGAAAAAACTAATGCCAAAGACGACTTTGAGTAGTCTCCACCAGACTTCTTTTATAGGCTGAATAAATAGTAGAGATCGGCCTAAAAAGGGGATATAATTGGCCAGAGAAGGTGGCCGGGCAGAGAGGTCCAATTCGTGCAGGCAAATTGGACCTTCTCTGGCCGGCAACACCTCCGGCCAATTATATCCCTTTTTTAGGCCGATTTCTACTATTTATTCCGCCTACAAAAGAAGTCTGGTGGAGACTAGACTTTGAGAATGATCGAATTAGCTGGAGACCACAGACATGGTGAGCTCTCGGCAGGCTAGGGCCTTCCCATTGGACGAGAGCACAGCCTTCCCGTGATACTCTCCGGTGACAACCCAGCTGGGCAGAATGCCGCTCGGCAGGTAGAAGGACTGAGGCGGCAGCACGTAGGAGCCCTGGCAGGGAGGGAGACAACAACACACGTGAGTATAGTAAAGCGTTAAACTTTATCCCAACTCACAATTTACACAGAGATCAAATTTTCAGCGACCACCGTCGCCTTCATCAGGATAATTAATGACCAATCACTTCACAACGTGATCTCGCAAGAGTTACGGTTTACAAACAGGTGACCTTATTCACACGAGACGTAAGCAATTGATCAAAAGTGCCAAGGAGTAAGTATCAACTTTTTTTAAATTTCAACATCTAATCACAAGACGTGGTGACGGCACACTCAAGTTTAAAGTTATTTTCACGCCGCCATCAGCGTAGAAGACAACACCATACTCATTTACACCTGAGTGAAGTGAGGAAAGCCTTCCCCAAGGGCACAAGAACGGTTACTAGATTTGCAAAGCAAATGCATAATGTTCACCTTCGCATATGGTCTGCTCTGTTTATTCGTACTCAAATACATCCATATATATATATGGTCAGACAGGAGAATAAATCCCTTTTACTATAAAATGGCAACATTATGTAACCCAACACCAGTTACCATGGTGAGAGAGGTCAACAAATCAGGCCATTGGCCAGGTCAGAAGTCAGTGTTTACACTGAAAATAGAAGGTTTTTCGTTCTGGTTTGCAAGAAAAAGTCCGAAGTATTGTATTTGTGCTTACTTGTTAATGTTACTTACCATTTTGAAGGGGCACATGCAGGGTATGTTGTAGTCAGACAGCGGGGAGGGGCAGGGATCCCCGGGCTGGAGCGGGATGAGGCTGCACAGATCGTCATAGTCACAGGAGCCCAGCTTATTCACGCACGGGATCTTCACCCACTTAGAGGAAACCTGCAAACAGACAGAAAAAAATCACTGCTTTGATGAAATCTTGCTGCAAAAACGCCAGAAATGGCATTTTGTGCCATCCTTTACAAACAACATATTTGAAAAATTGGGAAGATCAAATTGAAAAAATGAGTTAGAGGGGTGTTAACTCATTTTTTCACTAGTAAGAGGCTCTATGAAATCTGTTACTAGTGAAAAAATTAGTTAGAGTGGTGTTAACTCATTTTTTCACTAATATATGATAATTTATTGGGCTAAAAGTACAAACTACGCATTAGCACCACTTTTTCTCTTAACACGTGTTTTACCCACTTTTTCCAATACTAACTAAATAAATGTGCTAAATAATCAAGTCTCAAATTGAACCAAGGTCTTTGCCAAGAAAAGAATGGCAATGAGCAAATATACAATGCACGTAGAAAGCTTGTGACGTCCCCCGTCCAAGTCAAGTCAGCCGTATTTACCTCTTGCGTTGAGGCAAAAATTCGATTCTACGATGTGAGTTACTAACAGAAAAAAATCACAATGATTTGCGACAGAAAATATGGTCAGTTAGTTAGTCTCCAAGTAGATCATACGGTGGCAACTGGCAAGGCAGTACCCATCGGCCAGAGGAATGTCCATTAGCCACCGAAGCGTAATGTATTGACTTAATCTCCAAACAGATCTTTCGGTGGGGGTAAGACACTATCAAATTGGCCAGTCTGTATCCGTTTCCCGACCCAGGTGGTTACAGACTGGCCAATTTGATACTGCCTTACCCCCACCGAAAGATCTGCTTGGAGATTATAATTGGCACTCCTCTGGCCAATGGATACTGCCTTGCCAGTTGCCACCGTATGATCTGCTAGGAGATTACTGGTGAGTACCTTCTTCATGATGGTGACCTGTGCCCTGAGCGGGCTGCTGACCATGACCATGGGCGTGACGTTGAAGCCGCCAGTGATCATGTCGTTGATGTTGAGGGGGTCAGGGGTCAGGGTCCCGTTGATCTTCAGCGGGTCAGAGGGCATCCCGCAGTCAGACACGTTCCACTTCGACATGCGGACCTTAAGCGGCTTGTGGATGAACTGCAGTGACATGACACACGGATATAAATGATTCAAAAATTTCAGATAAAAAAAATTAAAAAATGTCTTCCCTTATTTGCATACCAATCAATAGTTCGTGCTTATGAACCTGCATTTCTCCTGCACGTCTCTAGCGTCGCTGATGAAAGGTAGTGGATACTATCTGAAACGTCTGACCGTTTCCAAAATCATATCGGTTGCTTGAGTAACTGTCTTTTGGCGAATGATTAATAAAACCTGAGTCACAGTGTGACCTCACTACAAAGAACAGGTACTGTGCACATGCACTGGTAGTACATGTTACAGATTTTGTGTGTTGTATAATAACAATGTACAAACGTTCTGTATGATTACCCAAGTCAAAAGAACTATTATTTACCATGTGGCAGACAATCAAAAGTCTGAATTTTAAGTAATTTACACAGCACATTCATTTAAAACCCATAATTTTCGAAAGAAATTACTTTGAAATCTCAGGAAACAGCTATACAATTACAAACCTTTAGTGATTAGTACAGTATGCGTCATTAAAATACATAAACCATAAAATTACTTCTAATCAATCTATACTACCACTCGACTTGTTCCATGTTGCAACGAAATCTAGTGTCAAAGTTCCAGCGGACGTACCAAGTGGGACAAGGTACAGCTGATACACATTTAACCACGAAGGCTGTTTGTGTACTTTGGAATAATTTCACGTGACTGTCATGGGATCATGATTTCATAGCGGGCATTGAAAAGAATGCAAAATAATGTAAAATAAGTATAATCTACTTTTATACTGAAAACTAACAACAAAAACGGCTAAGTAACTACATACTTCATCTTTGTATCTTGTAACGTTACTAACGATGTAAAATACCATGGCTTAAGAAAGGGAAAGGACAGTTAAGTGGAATCTCGAAAAAGTCGTCAGAGAAAGGCTAGACACAACCAAAGTATTTGTAGTTTTCAACCGTAGCTATTGGAAAGTCTGTCAATATTGAACTTTTTAAAGAATCATTTACCCTTTATACTTAAAAACAATATTGAATATCGATATTCTGGTAATCAGCTCAAATGCAAACATGGTTAACGTTACATTATAGGGGGCGTTACCCTACCTTGTCGTTCATAAAGACGCCAGGCATCTCCAAGGCCTTGATCAGCTGGTTGATGTCGTTGAAGTCTAGCTGTGGAGGAGGAGGAGCAGCCGCCGCGGCGACTAGGAGCAAGGCTAACATCTTCAGAGTTGCAGACATCCTGACTGTTCAGTTCGCGTCTCCGGCTACTTGTGTAACTGTGCTTCAGTGAAAAGGCACCGTGGCTTCTGTGGTGGGTTGGCCGTCACGCGTTCATGTGATGATAAACAGGAGCAAAGGTTTCTTGGTGTTGATTTATATAATTAGGGACAAACCAATAGGAACTGTCTGGGGGGGGCGTTGCCCTGAATATGAGACACGTTTCTCTGTAACGTTAGTCACAAATAAAAGGTTGACGTAACGTTACATTCAGGTGGTGCTTCTCAGGTTCAGTTGATGGTCACTTCTAACAATCGAACCCTTTCGTAACATCAAACGCACCGCGAATTCTTTAGTTCCAACGAATGTTCGAATTCGAATCGCTATTCTACTTCGAGAATAAATGAGTTCTTGACTGAGTACATTGCTTCCTTTTTCTCCAGTTTTACTCTCGATGACCCCTTTTACTCTTAGGAAATGTGGAAGGGGTGACTGTAGAATATTTGGGTTTATCCAGTATGGTTTTGCATAACTGTGACCGAGAGTACTGCGGATTGATGCACAAGAGCAGAGGTCAAGTTCGCAATTCACACATTGTTATCAGTATTGTTGATGCGTCTCAAAGTTTATGAGTAGGTCACTTGAGTTTATAAAGCCAACAACTGTGCCCCACACAAAGATGGGGTAAGTGGTAATTTAGTGCAAGTGTCCTTTCTTAGTTTGCGTATTTCATGATTATCACCTAACAGTTACTCTGTTTCGTAGCAAATTCATCAGTAAGCTAACTAAGCTGTGCCCTCAGAGATTCAAAGTGCAAAGCTCATTTCGGATCGTTCCTAATTCTGTGGCTGCTGAGGCTGTTTATGTAAAACTTGTACCTTTGTCCCTCTTGACTCGACCTTTCGTCCGCTAGCACGGACGTTGTATCCAAGACATGACGTCCTTGGACTTTGTCACTTTGCATCTCTGAGGCCACAGCTTAGCTAGCTTACTGATGAACATACTACGAAACAGAGTATACTCGGGTGATATGAAATAAGCAAACTAAGAAAGGGCACTTGCACTGAAGGTTGTGCTCACGTCCAATGGCAAGGCCATGTCCTGCCGAGAGCTCACCTTTTCTGTGGTCTCCAGCTAATTCATGGCTCTCCCCATTTCCAATAGAGCAAGGGTGCTCCCCCTCTCCACAAAATCCTAGAACCACCCTCAAAATGTAAAAATTTAGGGTTTTCTAGCAGTATTTACATGAAAATTCGTGATTTTTCATCAATCGATTACGGACTACCTCTCCCCTCAGAATGGATGTGGAGACCCCTGTAATCCAATCACATTCTAAGTCTTTGGCATCCAGTGGTTTTTTCGAGACCTTCAGTGCTATCTCTAGTGTTTAGCGTACACATTATGCAGTACTGTTGTAGTTTTAGCCGTTTTGCGATGTGGCATCGACCGTTTCAAATGGCATCGACCGTTTCTGAGACAGAAATTAGCACATCCGAAGTCATGAAGCACAACACTTAAATGATGCGATGAGGTTACAAGCTTTAAGGTTAGATAAACGATTTAATGACAAATCTGTAGACTCTATATTAGTAATGTATATCAGTGTGTTGCTGACCACCTACGAATTCCAAGCTGACACGATTTAGTAATACATAAATCTAACACAAGGGCGGAATTATACAATGTTGTTGTGTCCGACAAAAACCGCGACTAGGCTAAACACTGCTGTATCATTTTGAATTAAACTGTAGTAATGTCCAACACATACAATTACATTTGAAGATAATTTTTGACTGAACAGCATCACCATTTACATGGCGTCCCATACTCCCATTGTGTTAGAAGTTATTTTATGGTCTTTCTTCAAAATGACTTCTACCAACACAGATGAACTTTCAAACTGTTATTATATGAAATCGATGATACGAAAGCACTAAGCACTAAACCTGGCGTGCATTTTAGGTGTGTAGTCATAATGATTAAAACTGAAAAGGTAATCTGGTTTACTCAATTACGTAAATTACGTTAACAAAAGTGCATATCTTCAACCATTCAAGACAAATAGATACAACAAACAATTCCAGATATTCTGCAAATGAAGGAACAAAAAATTCATAGAAGTACAAGAAGTTGACAAACTTAAGCAAACGGTACAAGGCTACAAAACGATAAACCAATAACACGATATCACTATCAATCACCCAAAATATGGCAGATACAATAAACTGCTACGTTTCAAGACTATGTTCAATTTTACCTCAATTATGGAATATGACACACTGTTGTTGACAAATTATAAGATATTCTTCTGTCGATCACTCCAAACCATCGGGCCAGACACAGTCCTGTACCAGACTGAGTGTGCCTCCCTGATCCTTCACAACAAGACTAGGATATACCGGCTGGGAAATCTGCTGAGCCTGTGTCGTGATGAGGCGGTGGTTTTGGTCATAATACGAGATAGAGCCGGCATTGTAGTCAAGAAGGACACCCACTTTTGTCAATTCGCGAAGTAACTTAGGCTCAGCAGCACCTGTCAGCTCAGCGCTGTTATGCCCAGGAGAAACCTCGTTCATTCCAGCACAAGAAATTTCGTACGTTTTCACACCGTTGGGCCCTACCCCACAAAAAGAAGCATACATCGTTGAAACAGAAACACGTTGTTTTATTCTACCCCCGAGGCTCTGATAATACGTCGTCACGCAGGCCACACCCAACCCAAAATCAGAGCTTCCCCTCACATCTACCTCCCAATAGCGCCGTCCATTCTCAATGGCAGCATCACCCAACACGCATGGGGGTACCGGTGGTGGACTGTAGAATCCGAGTGTTTGTGGGTGACTCCGGACTCGTTGGAGGCGATCTTGATATGGTTGGTTGAAGCCTTGGTTGGAGCCATACGCTTGACCACGGAGCTGTGCTTCACTAACATTTTGAAAGCACGTAACAGACATACCATCATCGGCCACGACCATTGGTGGTTCTGCTGTGTTTTTGTCAAGTTTGAACTTCAGCTGACCTGACATGAGGTAGAAAAATGATCTGCATCAATTTCATGCTTTTGGACAACATTTACACAAATTTCATATTTCGCTTACATAAAGTAGGGGCTCTAATCTCTGAGTAAAGTGATGGCATATTAGAATTTTACTAGAAAGGCCGACATTTGATTTGGAGCAAACGTAGCGGATGGCTTCACCACATTTTACGACATGGCAAGGAAACAAGGAGAAACACAAAAAACAATTCCTTACATTGATATAACTGTAGTATGAAGTGACAACAGTTGGATAGCTATCCCCTACATTATTGGTTACGATTTTTAATTGCATCATGCAAACTGTTGATTTTCAAGATAAAAAGAAGCGTTTATGCCCCGCATTCCATAGTGCACATAGTGGTGAAGGCATAATTATGAGGTCTTGTTCAACAAGCAGTCAAATAAACAAAATGCAATGTTAATTCTACGTAAACCAGGGGTTTTGGACATGCATGATACACACACATATATATAGTATGAATAGAATTTGCACACAATGAGAGGTACAACAGGTGTACACCTTAGTACACGTTGGAAACACCACAGTTTAATCCTACTGATCGAAGAAACGTAACTCACCACCACGTCTTGTTTTGATGTCCACTGTTTGGGATGCTGCTTGTCCCGTTTCGTTGATGGCGGCAACAACAACCTCGTAAGTAGTGTTCTCCTCCAAATTTTCCAGTTTGATGGACTTGCTCGTGGAGGGAACTGTCTGCTGCCTGCCACGGCGCTCGCCTGCTTTTCCATGCCAAACGTTGTACTTGTCGACAGGCGTGTTCCCTCCCGCAGTCCAGTTAATGTTGATATAATCACGGCCAGCTGTGCACCGGTCGGTCAGGATCCTTGGCGCTTGTGGAGCTGAATAGTGGGGAAAGTGCCAGTTACAATTAGTATGGTACTCCATTATATAACTCAATTAGTATTCTACTCCATATACATATATATGTATGTATGTATACTTACATATTTACACACACACACACACACACACACACACACACACACACACACACTAGACGACG